CTCGATGTCCAGCGTTCCACAACAGCGCGATTTTCAAGGCATTTACTGCCTCGCACAACCACTCTGTGGAACCAGCTGCCGCCGGCGGTCTTTCCGAACCGTTACGACCTGGGAACCTTCAAAAAGAGAGAGAGCGTACTCATTCCTAAAAGGCCGGCAACGCATTTGTAAGCCCTCGGGTGTTGCAGATGTCCATGGGCGGCGGTGATCACTTACCATCAGGTGAGCCTCCTGCTCGTTTGCTGCTTTTTTCCCATAAAAAAAAAAATAAATAAATAAAAAAAAAAAGAGCCGGCCAAAGCGTTCCGTACCACAACGGCAAAAAAATCATGTCTGTTGTATGATAGCCGCACTGAAATATTTTTTTATTCTGTTTTGTTAAAGCGGCAACAGAAATTCATTTTCTGTAAAAATTTCAACTGTCTAACTATCATGGTTCATGAGATACAGCCTGGTGACAGACGGACAGACAGATAGACAGACAGCATAGTCTTAGTATTAGGGCCCCGTTTTGCTCTTTGGGTACGGAACCCTAAAAATCGGATGTGTCAAATCACTTTTCTATTCTTTGTCAAGTGAGCAGTTTTTAATGACAATATATAAGAAGGGAATCATCTTTAATCACTGGACTGTACTTATACCAACTAGGGCTGATTGTTAAATTCTGTTCTACGCACAAATTTCAAATACAAGCGCCATATTAAATAACAGCGTATTGCATTATTTACTTTATAAAAATATGAAAATAAAGTATTATAACACAAGCGGAGTAAAACTCAAAAATATAAATACTTGTATACTTTTCGCTCCGTGGAACTTTCCTGGTCAGACAGATCCTTGATTTATTGCTCTAGCCCAGTCAGTATATATATAAGGTAAGACAAGGGCAACACTGGGAGGCTAATTTGTATATTTTATTTCCATTAGACATTGAATTGAAAATTAACTTGAAAATTAACTTTTGTTATGTAAATTACACAACACATACACATTCTACCCTGTTGTACCCACGTGTCTTTAGTTATAAATCCTGTATTTCTATTGGTGTACACCGAAAGGAAAGCATCGGAACCACTCCGCGATCCCGTTCCCCCGGTCACGTGCTCGGAACTCGCAGAAACAATTAACAAACTGCGCCCACGCAAAGCGCCTGGCTCAGATGGTATCACCAATAAGGTGACCAAACTTCTCCCTACTAGCATCCTTCAGATACTAGTACTAATTTACAACGCGGCTATAACCGAAGGCTTCTTCCCGTCCGAGTGGAAAGAAGCTGACGTAATAGGGTTCCTCAAACCTCACAAACCCGCGACCCTCCCAACCTCTTATCGTCCAATAAGTCTTCTCAAAACATTTGGGAAGATCTTTGAAAGACTAATATTAGCCCGACTAAGATCCCTTATGGACGCCAAAGGGCTCCCCATCCCTGAACAGTTTGGCTTTAGAGCCAAACATTCTTGTACTCATCAAGTGCACCGCATCACGGAGCACATACTAGTCAAACGCCAACGCGGACTCAACACCGGAGCACTCTTCTTGGACGTGGCAAAGGCCTTCGATAAAGTCTGGCACAACGGGCTCGTATACAAGTTATACGGGTTCGGAGTGCCCGATCGTCTCGTATGCATAATACGAGACTTCCTAAGTAATCGGACCTTTCGCTATCGCGTCGAAGGCGTGTGTTCGACAACGCATCCCGTTCGAGCCGGGGTGCTTGAGGTCGGCGTTGGGCCCAGTCCTTTTTACGCTCTACACCAATGACATGCCGCGAGTCAAAGATGTAGAACTTGCCCTATTTGCCGACGACACCTGTCTCTATACAGCAGGCAGAACATCCGAAATTATCCATCGACGCCTCCAAGCTGCAGCCATCACCATCGGTGACTAGTTTCGGCAATGGAGGATCGAAATCAATCCCGCCAAGAGCGCGGCCGTCCTTTTTTTTTGCGCATAAAAACGTAGATAAACCACCCCCCGTTAAACTCATGGATAGTCCGGTACCATGGGTGAACAAAGTTAAATATTTAGGTATCGTCCTTGACTCCCAACTTAGGTTCAACCAGCACGTGACTCGGGTCAAGAACCGGGCGGCCTTCGTACTCGGTCGCCTCCATCCGCTCCTCAACAAAACGTCTAAAATGTCCCTTCGGAACAAGGTGACTCTATATAAGGCAGTAGTTCGCCCTATCATGACGTACGCGAGTCCAGTTTTCGCACACATTGCTCCGAAGCAAATACACCGGCTTCAGGTCATCCAAAATCGATTTTTGCGCAGAGCCACGGGAGCACCCTGGTACATGCGCAATATCGACCTTCATGTCGATTTAGAGTTGCCCACCATCGCTCAATTCCTGAAGTCGGCGTCGCGCCGATACTTCGATTCCGCCGCCGCGCATCCCAACCCGCTAATCGTAGGTCCGCCACCTACAGACCCCTGCCGCTAGGTACGTTCCGCCGCAATCACCGTAGACCGCGACACGTTCACGATTTCCCTGACGATGAGACGACTATCGCCATCGAAAGGACTAAAAAACTTCGCAAACACACCAACACAAACCGCACTCGCCGGCGAGTGCAGCAAACATATACTAGGTTCCGCCACATACCTGGCAGGTTCTCCCCAGTTCAAGATAGAAGCGTTGCTGGAGTTTCTTCCGCCACTTCTTCTCCCAGCGCCAACGCTTTACGAAGTGGTAGTAACGATAGCTCTAGAGATCCCCCCAGTCAGATAACAGCTACCGATCGAGCCGAGGTCCGGCCCTCTCGGGCACCCTCGAATCGGAATGCTAAGCGCGTGTTGAGTGACAGCCCAAGCCGAGGTCCCCTCTCGGGGACCCTTGAGCCTGATCACTCCATGGATCCCCCGCCAAAGCGCCCTAAGAGCTTGGCGACCTCCCAAACCGGTGAACTAAATAGCGTGACGGCCCGAGCCGAGGTTCCTTCGGGAGCCCTCGAGCTTAGTCACCATATCGCGTAATAATAAATACGCGAGGTTCAGGCTAGGCACCTCGAGCGCCCGGCCACCTCAATTCCGTCGGAACTGTAAAGGCCCCTAAGGCCAACAGTGGCTCATCAAGCCCAAAAAAAAAAAAAAAAAAAAAAAAAAAAAACTTCACTTGTATTTCACTTTTACTTTACTATGAACCCTGATCTTTCTTAATTTTCGGTCAAAGAATACAAATCGCATGTGCATATCGATTAAAAAAAATTACTCTTGTGACAATTGAATATATTATATAACTTAACTTAATATATTATATAACTTCCAAGTGACAATTGAATATATACTCAAGCTTTGTATAATTATAATTTAAAAAAAATATATAATAATATTTTAGAAAAAAAATGCTTACGACGTGACGTACCAATGTTTGAAGTACGTTTTGAAATTCGAATGCAATCTAGTTACAGAAATGCCAACCCTGTCAAGCGTCCAGCGAGTTTTGCGAGGAATGAACTCGGGCGGTTAAAGCTACGCAGTGGCCTTCGAAAAAAAGTTAAATTACAAAATAAGTATAATACCGGCTTCAATAAAATCAATTGCAGAACCTTAAGCTCTCTTACGAATGAATCATGCAATACCAGGAATCCATATCTGTTTCATTTTGCATTACAGATGTTGCTTTACGAGTATGTTTACTATCAGATTTATCATTTAAATCATCTCATGTTGTACACGCGCACGGAGTGGACGCAACTAGTAGTCCGTTTTCTTAGTCTTACTTTGAGACCTTACCTTTTTTATTCGCTTATATAATAATTTGCAATGAAAATCTATCTTACATGCCTCAGTATATAACAGCTCATCGAGTTTTGCTGTCGAGATAAAGGTCCTTATCTGATGTCTGCATCTGAGACGGTCATAGGCCTTTCTTGTAAATAAAAGCTTACCTACCTATTCCTAGTCTATTATACCTATATACCATTTCTCTTTTACGCCGGTCTTCAAAGAAGCGTGGAATTCCCCTTTGTGCCCGCAGCAAATCTTAAGTTTATCTACCTTAGAATATGAATTGAAAACAGACCCTACCATTTCGTAATTGAAAATAAGTTATAATCAAAACCAGCTTCTGGAACACTATGGCTACTGGGTAGTGGATTGGGCGATATTTAACACCTCTCTAAGCGAAAATTCAATCGGATTAGTAACGCCAGCACAGATTGTGAACTTAAGTGTGGCGAACGAAAATGGGTGGCGGTGATTGTTTATCGCTGTGCAAGTCGCACACTCCATAAAAAGATAACTAAATAAAGGAGATACCAGACACAATATGATTCTCCGCAACGCTTATTAAAACTCTTCGCGACTGTACCTGTAGCATACAACACAGAGACAAAGTTTATCTACAATCTGTCATTCGTTGCATCAATCACAGAATTTTCCATTTGTTCTAATGTGTGTTTGTATTATTTTATTTTACTCGCAACTTCATGTTCCGTAACAATAACAAAAGATGCACAATTTTTCCTCCATTGCGTTCATCGTCAACGTTTTTTTCCTCTTGCTTATATCAAGAAACGTGACATGTGAATTACTATAAAAATATGAATATCTGAACGTTACAGGATTTTTGAACTTGACATAGTACGTTTGTTTGCCGACATAATAATTGCTTTGTGATTTGAATAAACTTGAGCAATGTAATAGTATTGTAGATGTAATTAGACGACCTTTAAAAATTCACGACTAAAACCGTCCGTTGTGTATAAAATTTGCTATTTCATTCTAATTTAAACTTTTTGTTTATTTTTCTGACCCTGTAGCCGTAAAGCAAATGATGCGAAGACGTTAAAGCCTTCAGGCGTCCTTTCAAACTGCCGGCTCGTCTAGTTTGGCGTGCATCCCTAATTTGATAAATACAAGGAAGTATAAAATGTCATTATCGTTTTTATAAAAACAAATTTTAAACTGTAAAAGTCTATAATGATTTATTTTCTCCTATAAATAAACGTGAATAATGTTTATGCTCCTAAACCATTCCATAAAACTGTATTGAAATATGCGCACACCCACGGTAGGTTCCTAACCCATAAACAAAATAGGTACTTTGTTTGTATTTGTGTTCTCTGTAAAAAAAAACCTATATTTAATTTAGACATTGTATGTTCATTTTTGTATCCTCATCTTAATTTATAAGTAACAGTAATAAACTTTATTTAAGATACACACCTACATGCTTAAAAAATGCCTTCCCGTTATTTAAAAGTAATTCAACCGAGTCATTTTACTGGACATGGAAAATTTAATATGATATCGTTCATTTTGCCTCTTAATGCGGACCTGATTGCCATGTTAACTGTAATTTTACGACCACTTCCCCCGTATCGACGAAATGCTGCGAACTAAATACTTTCGAGTTTTTCCACGTTCCGTTCACTTCCGAAAACAGGTATCTTGTTTCAGTGAACATGAAATGATTTGAAACGTGAACAATATGATTATTATAATTAATATCGACGTATCGTCAAAAAATTTAATTCTCTAGATTCTAGTGTAATCGCACTCCTAGGAACCTCGTATTTTTATGGATAAATGGTGTTATGGAATGTATATATATATATATATATATATATATATATATATATATGTTTGTATATATATATATATATATATATGTTTGTATATATATATATATATATATATATCCATACACATATATATTGCCGGTTCTTCTCAGGACAGGTCTCGTGAGCTGGTGGTAGTTTTTGACGTTCAATAAGAGCTTGAAATAAGCCTGTATTGAATAAAGAAATTAGAAATTTCAACACACCTTTTCCATTTGTCATGTTAGGGCCACGCAACAGTTTCGCTGTTGCACGATTGGGAAGTGTAAGTGTTGTACTCCTGCGTTTCGTCTGGTGAGTGAGGTAGCCAAGGCCCACGAGGGCTAAGAGGTGGCAACGCATCTACAACCCTACGAGTGTTGCAATGTCCATGGGCGGCTGTTATCACTTAACATCAGGTGCATCGCAAGCTCGTTTTCCACCTTCCGCATAAAAAAATATTATGAAAATAATTCATATTTACTTAATACCGAATTCCTGCTTGTCATATAACTGATTGTGTTCAAGTATGTTATCAATGAAATATTCAATCATTAATCAGCAATGTAATGTTATGGTAAATTATCATATACAGATATATTTATTATCGCTGTCTGTTAATTTATTCAGAATAAGTCTTTGGTTTATTTTTATTTCGATATTGCCATAGACTTAAACATTTTACTGCCCTTTTTTATTGACATTTCGATATACCTAATTAAGTATCTTGTGACCTAAACGAGGCGAACAAATAAAATCACATAACACACATCGTAGCCGGTGAAAACAATGGACTGAGGAACCGTATAGCCGGATAGGATAGCAATATTTTCTAGCAGTGCTGTCACTTTAATATGTTTCAAAAAAATCGACCAAGTTCGAGTCGGACTCGCGCACAAAGGGTTCCGTATCATTATATCCATATCTATAGAAACGACAAAAAAATTATGTCTGTTGTACGGGAGCCCCATTTAATTTTTTTTAGTATTTTTTGTTATAGCGGCAATAGAAAATCATCCATCATCCACGAACATTTCAACTGTCTAACTATCGCGATTCATGAGGTACAGCCTGGTGACTGACGGATAGACAGACAGACAACGAAGGTTCAGTAATAGGGTCCCGTTTTACGCTTCGGGTACGTAACCCCGAAAATAGGGAAGTTTTTACTAAAGATCAACATTTATTGAATATTCTTCCTGTATAAAATGTATTCTATAGGTAAATCAATAGTAAGCACAAAACACATGTACAAATATTTAAAAATTTCAATAAAAAATATGAAATAAAAACTATGAAAATGAATAAGTGACTCAAAAAACTATTTCTTGAATCCCTAATCCTAAAACGATTACAATAAAGCGTACTACGATTCTTACGCACCGAGTATGATAGAAAAATAGTAATACAAGAAAATGTGAGCACGACAAAGTAAGCTCACGTATTTCGTTACAACAGAAGCGAATTATCAAACGAAAACGATAAAACTCTCCCGAAGCACTCCAAGCCGCTGCTAGCAAAAGTAATTGTATTCTTATTCACTAATGCGGCCGAGTCGTGACCAGATCGAAATATAAACACCCGATGCAACCGCTTTGTACGCTTTGATAAAGATAACAGTTGATTAGTAGTCGGGCGCGCTAATTCTAACGGTGAATAGCTCTTAATTTATCGTCCGAGAGACCGCGTCCGTAAGCTAAGCACCCAATTGTTACGTCCCCGAGACGACTCAGCTCGGGAATGACATAAAATTAACATTTTACGCGCTCCTCCTCAGAATCGTGTAAATTTAGGAGCGGACGCGCGTTGCAATTCGCACACGTTACACGATGCAACTCTCAGACGAATGCAACTTTAAAAGAGAACGGAGTTGCCTATCTGGCGCCCCTTCGGCACTTAATCTAGACGTCTCGTTCCAAATTCAAATGTAAGTTCTTTTTTCTCTCTCGACATTTTAAAATTCAACGGATAGTGAGGCGCCTACGTGAGACCGGACTTACCGTTTTATGAACGCGCCCGTGTCTATTTCAATATGAATTAGTAACAGCGCATCACAATCTTCGCGAGACCATTACCCCGCCCCCGCGTCGGGCTGCATTTATCTCGATGTACTAACAATCGTTAAAACGTGCTGTAAATTCCAAGTGTGCAATTAAGTCCCGGGCTCCCTATTTTTAGCCGGACGCAGAGTTGGACTTTTTTCATCGGCAAGACGGGTCCGCGCGGCGGAGCGAGTCCGCTTCCCGCGCTAGGGTTGTCATATCCCCGAGTGTCCCGCGCTGTTTGACAGCCCGCCTATTTTACAGCGTTTCCCTATTTATTATCCTTTTCAAGGGGCGAAATTTTCATATGGATCGATATTTCTATACTTATTTAAGATGCATTAATATAATATAGGCCACATTTTCAAAGTTTAAATCATAGGCTGTACCTAATACTATTTTAATAATGTGTTTATAACAGCCCTATCTAGTAGTGCTTATTTAAGAATTAGTGCTCAGGATCATGAGTACAAGTGCTCCTTATTATAAATTGATCGCGGTTGGATGCTAATTCAGCTACATACTCGCATGTTCAACGGCCATTAAGTCGGAATTACGGCCGTATTTATATTTTATTATATAAAGCAGTATAAGCCGAGTCGTTTCATACGGGATTATAATCACACAAACTACTATCTACTGTAAGATCGTTTGTTCATTTGTCACTGCTATTACTTTGCTTTATTTCTTTTTATCATTAGATTCATGTGTCATTATAATAATTAGATACTTAGAAATAGTTTAATTCGTAGTTTTTTCTCGGGAAAACGAAAAATCGCAAAGCTTGCGCCGTACTTCGGAATATTACAGTCCACAGCCGATTAAAATTTTGACGTTTTCCGTTTTTTTGAACTAGATCCCTAATTTGTATATTCCAAGAGTTCGTGTACGAAGCTCCCAAAGTAGCTTATGGTTTGAACTGTGAATGTCAGGAAAGCTTGATGGCTTGATGGCTTCGAGATAGAAGACAATCACACAAGTACACGAATTTATCGTTTATGTCAAATTTCCATAACAAAATAAGTACAATAAATACACATAAAAAAAGAAGTAACGAACTTTTACAAATGTTGTTAATCATGTAACATAAACTAATAATTGCATTCTAACAATCAAAATTTTCTAGCTTCTGCCCATTTGATTAACAAGTATTCACATCAGTAAATAACAATTTGAAATCATGGCTTGCTAGAGATCTAACCCAGCTTCGCCCAGGTGCAATTGACTTAGTTGACTATCGTCCATAATCATATAATAAACCTAAATAGTCACTCATATACAATTCCTACATCCATCTGAAATAATGCACCTTTTAAATGGTGCTAGGATTATTAAAATTTATTGAAAGTGCAAAGATGGAGCAAAATCCGTAGACATATTTGACAAAAAATGAACACCGTTTGATTTTACCACTCAACTATAATAAGTGAACATCTTTATTTTAATTTTGTGGCTTATTTCATTTATTTAAATGTCAAATATATGATAGCTATGAATGTGTCGACAAAAAAAATTACGTTTTGTTTACAGTACCCGGTTTCTGCGATAGATGAAGAGGAGGACGTGGTCGACAAGGCTTCAAAAGATTTCATCGCGGGCGATTTTCCGATAGCAGTAAGGTACGACGTAAAACTTAAAGCCTATAGCAAATTTAGCAACCATAAAATGCTCCAAATCTGACCTCAAGCCTCCTCTCTTCAGAGCGTTTTGTTTCCCCCCAATGCGGATGGGATTTGGCTTTGGATGCCATTAGTTTAAATGATACGTTATACTTCGAATGTATGACCAATACACATATGATTTTTTTAATTGTTAGATATATTGTAATTTTTCGAATAACAAGGTTACGAAGGCGAAAACACAGATCATTAAACAGGAAAACCAATATTTTATTGTTTGATCTTCCAATATAGTTTCTACAAACAGTTACTTCGCATAGAGCTACTCATTCCCTCGTTGTTTAATGTTTGTCTATAGACAAAAAGATAACTAATGGGAGTAATACTTTTTCATCCCCAATGGGCACACATTTCTGTAATGCGCACGTAAAAATCTACAGAACAATAATTCCATAATAAATTGTTAACAGCGACAAAGAAAAAAAGGCGCCGAATGCCACACGACCGCTGCCAGGCACACTGCCGAAAAGCGCGGGAGATTTGACAAGCGCGTCACGAGCTCTTTTGATGCGGCTTTTGGAGAGAGACCCCAAAGTGCGAATGCGCAGCTTGCGCCAACTTCAGCAGTCTGCCCTCTATATGGGCTTCAACTTCGAACACGTAAAGTCGAAGAAGGTGAGCAGCGATCAAAAGTCGAGCGCACGTTCGTCTCGGTTTAGTTTTGTGAAATTCTTCCGTTTGGGGTTCCGCGGATGGGGAAAGGAAGCCATATATTAACATAAATAGTATTTATTTATTCAATACTACTTACTTACAATATTAAGATTTTATATGTATTTTACATTAAATCATAAGTTAAATCCAATAAATAAATTGGAAAATTAATTTGTCTAAAAATAATTCGTCGGAAAAAAAAAACATTTCGGTCTGCACAGCGTGCTACTAACCTAGTCACCATGGAAATTTTAAAAATGTGATAAACGACACCACTTAGCTTAGAAATTGATAATTGAGTTATTTTTTTTTACATTATGCATTACGTTGTAGGTGTTAACTTCTACAAGTAATCATCTCAGGTTATCTCATTTGGGAGACAAAACGTAAAACAAAGGTTTAAAAGGACAAACTTTAAAACCGGTATTTACAAAAACATTAAGCGTTTTTATTGCTACGCTGTATCGTCGTTTGGTTTTCTACATAAAAGTTACTTAGAGATGAAATATAGACTGAATATAACTTGGGAACCAAGCGCATGCATACGAGACCTTTCATGCAAAAAATTCACGCTTGTCGCTTCACTTAGCATTCGCACGAGACGAGACGCGACTGGCGTCGGCGCCTGTCACGCGGTGACGCGACGCGCATCCAATACCTGGCTAGGGCTGGGAACACCTTTGAATAGGTGTGATATTTTTAAAATGTTAAATTAAATTTTGACAAAGAGTGTGTTACGCCTCTGATAAATTGTACATAAACTGTAAATGATACCGCACAAAAACATTTCGAAAGAATTTTTGCATTCTTTACATGATAAGATAGAAGAAATTACATGTTTTGTTATCTCAACGGCCATTTTTTTAATATTTGTAAGCATAAATATGAACATTTAAACATCGTTAGGTAGCTAATCTTTGTTCGGGAAGAAAAAGCTGTACTAATTCTAATTACTTAACTCGTTAGTGCGTTTGGTCTTATTAGAAAATAGTATGAAGGACCGAGCTTTGCTCGGTTTGTTTTTTTTTTTTTGGTAAATCGTGTATTTCGGAAATTACATTTAGATACAAATTACTGAGTAATGAAATATGCATAAAATTTTTCAATCTTACCGCCGTAATAATAAGAAAATATGAACTGGTGTTTTTCACAAAAGAAAGAACTTTAAAAAAAAGGGAAAAAATAACAAATCGACAAAAAAATAAAAAATAAAGAAAGCAATGATCTGGAATCGAAAAAAAGTAAAAAAATAAGTGTGTAAATGATCGTGATACGAATCGCGGCCGTCTGTTTTGGGGCCGCCCGATTACCGACCGAGCTATTATAACATTTTTTTGCGGTGAAATTTACCGTTATATTCGAATGATATTTTTCATACCCTGAAAACAAGGATAAAAGGACATTTTCTAAAAATTAAACCTAGCTAGATAGATTTTTCGCCCCCAAATCTACGCACATACTAAATTTCATAAAAATCGCTGGAGCCCTTTCCGAGATTCCGATTATATATATATAAATGTACTCCATATTCCAAATAAGACTATTTTACTGCTTTTTTCACATTCTATGATGATAATGATGACAATGATAACGAAGATTTCAGGGAGATTCTCGCGAACAAACCTGAGGCCTAATTCTGTATGAAATGCCACGTGCAATATGTGATGCCACGCTTAAGTGATATGGAATCGATATTTCCATATTCTCTCAGATCTAAGATAAATTGCCTCTGGCACGTTTCGAACTCCCGAATGCGCCCTGAATTTATGCAACAGAATATTAATTTCTAAAGAATTAGAAGAAGAAAGTATAATTTAATAAGTTACCTAACATCTATTATTAAGTAAATAATTGACAGAAAATCCATAAAAGAGCTTTTATTCCATGAAAATGAGGTTTTGACATAGCACGGACAGCACCGTCTGGCTTTTTGCTTTACACTGTTACGAAGGTCCCGCCATGTCTGAAAATAAAACGAAAGTTAATAATAAAGATTTTTCTTCATTTATGTATTCTCCACATACCTTTTTACAATAGTGGGTTTTTGCAATAATGGGTTTACTTTGGTAATTTCTGCACAAAAACAATTCGAAAAATCTAACAGTTACGAAACTATAAGTGATCCCATGACAGCTCAAATCACATTAGTATTATGTTGATTCCCCGCGGTTTCGTTCAATATGTCATACAGAATACATTTTTTGCAAATGGCGAAAGTTCAATTAGGTAAGTTCCTCGAAGTAAGGCGTAAGTTCGTTCAATATGTCATACAGAATACATTTATTGCAAATGGTCGTAAGTTTTCAAGAAATTGACGTGGTTTCGAAGCAAGGAACTAGTGAATTAGCCCACTGATATCGTGTTGATTGACCGGGCACAGTCGCGGCTATTTTTGGTTGAAATTCCATTCCATATGATGAGAACCTCTTGAAAGCCGAAACAGATAAGAAGACGAAATATCTGGACACGAGGTGACCGACATGTGGGGTGGTTTATGTACCGAAATTATCCCGATAGTCGTTTCTGCGAATGAGTTAATCCCAGTTAGCCGACTGAGGGGATTGGGACTTGGGGAAGGACCGTTCTAAGCTCAAATTCAGAAAGCGTGCACGTCGATACCGCCCGCATTGGGCGCCGGTTTCTCTCCCTTTCACACTAAAGGCCCATTTACACGATGCCATTTTCTTGTACATACAAGAGCAATAATTGAATGCAATAAATTGCGCGCAATAATTGTTAAGACCATTTGTTGTTTAGACCATGCAACTCATTTATTGCTTCAATTTAATTGTATACAACAGGCAAGAAACTGGCACCGTGTAAATGGGCCTTAACCCTCGGCCGTTTGGTCTCCACTTGGCTTCCGTCTGGTTGGGTACTATTTATTCTACGATTAACTACTTATTTTACGATTTCGAGGAAATTCGATATAAACTATCTTCACACCAAATCTTTAATCCATCTAAATACAGAAAATAACATTTATTCAAGTTAATTCTGCTATATTAAACCTTGTTAACGCCTATAACCTCATAATTTGATAATAATTAAATAAAAACTACAATTACTTAATCGGAGAAAATGAAAATGTTTTGAATCAGGAAAAGTCATCGGTTCATTAGATAGCTATTTAAAAATAATTGTTTTCCACACGGCCATTCTAAGAGGTTAGATAAGGGCTTGATTCAAATCATTTCCGATATATAAAAGTACTCTTTGGCTTGAATGTCGTCACATTGAAGCTGACAAACCGGAAATTGAGCAGGAACAAACTTGTGTCTGAAGTCGAGACTTTGTTAACAAAAATCTCAGACTGGGATCGACTAAAGTCGATTTAGTCCAATTCAACCCCAATAAGACACAAGTTTGCGCGTTAACCGCTGAAAAAGTCCCCATTTGTCGTGAATCCTCATTTTGAGAACACTCCCCTGTCTGCCACAGCTAGTATCGGAATACTTGGCGTCGAAATCTCGAGCAATGTCCAGTTCCGCGGTCAATTGGAAAGTAAGGCCAAATTGGCCTCAAAGAAGCCTTATTTTGTAAAGGAACCAAGTGGCTTCTTATTAAAATGTTTAAAACTAAACTAAACTTTTTGATTGCATTTAATTTTACTTTAGTGTCCGACCGAATGTTCGGTTTTGGTTTCTGATTTCGGTCGAGTTTCGGCAAAAAAACTAGTTTCGGTTTCGGCGCCAAACCTGCCGAAACTACGACCGAAACCTGCATTCGGGAGTTCTCGCGCTATAATCGGTTATGATCAGAGAGTGAAATTCCATCCATGCAAGCAAGCGGCGTGATGAATGAATGAACGGATTTTGTTTAACGCTGCGACGTTCGAGTATAAATCGTTTGACTAATTAATAAAAACACTTTATACAATTACAAACTACTTAATACATTTATAAAAAAAAAACCTTAAGCGTGTTCAAAATCACCACGAATAATTTTCAACAGAAGAATCTAACAACTAAAATAAACCTATTTTGAGTCTTTTTAATGCGCAATTAATTTTTTTTTCTAAACTGAGTTTGTTAAGTTGATTATCATACCAATAAGTGAAAATTTCGAAGAGTGCATGACTATATGATATAAAGATATTTATTTTTCCCTCAAAAGATGATCCTTTTATAGAAGTTTCGGTTTCGATCGCAAAAACCTGTTTCGATCGGATATTATTGTACTTAAATACTAATAGCAGTCTCACAATGCGACGCCGCTGTAGGTATTTAGCATGGCAAAAATATTTGATAAACTTAATCATTGTTGCCATTCACTCTTTACACTGATTAATGTTTACTCATTTCATTTCAGATGTCACCGAAGTCAATATTGGAACGCCATTTTCCTTTAGTTAAAGCGTCAACTAACGGTTCACTTAACATCGTTTCAAAGGACTTCACGGCATTCGATCAATCGATTATTTCAGACTAGCGCATGTATTAACAGTAAAGGAGTTAATTACATGGCTATTTGTAGAGAAATGGAATTACATGCTATTTTTCTTTGTCGTATGAAGCCTTCGATAAAACCACCAAACACCTACTACCTTGAAACTGGCTGTGAGAGATTCCATTACTGACGAACCATTAGCACTAAAATCAGTATTCATTTCAGTATATATGTTTTATCTATGATTAAAATCGTATCTCGGGTAAAGCGGTAAAGACCTATAATTTAACTTTACCTATTTTTTATTATTTTAAAACTAAAACTGTTAAATATGAACGATGTTATAGTAATTATATTATTTAGTTAAACTGAAATTTCTATATTCTTTTTCTGCTTATTGATTTTTATTAAAGTGAAATAATGAAATTCCTTACTTATGGTGTGTAAAGAAGGCAAATTCGTTATCGTAACATTAAAAAATGTACTGCGATAATTTTATCTAACTCGAATACAGTAGATATTTAAAAATACGCAATTTAAAAAATACTTGTACGTTGACACTAATTTATCCAAAATAAATAATTGAATAAATATGTTTTTTTTATTGGTCTTCCTGATATAATATTAATAATACTTATTAATGTATTTACAAAATTTTATTTTTTATTTAATTTGAAATATAACTAACATAAAGAAACATATAGAGACAGTACTTATTTTGATAATTAATGCCTCTGAGCTTGACTTGAAGTGATTAGCTAATACATATTTTTAGATTTTTTTTGTAAAATTGATATAGTCGCCATCTATGAGTAACACAAGGCATCGATTACTTAATGCTTACATTATCTGTGCAAGGTACTAGATGCGAGTGAGCTTCAAAGATCATAGATATAGTTAGAAAATTATTAAGTGTAAGGTCTTTGGCTATACTACTGTTTGTTAATTAAACGATGATACGCGGGGCATGACATTACGAAATAAACACATTGTATGACGTACATTTTTGTTTAAAAAATACGGAACTTTATATACGAGATCCATATTTGTATGTAAATGTTCCGCGTATCAACCTATATTTAAAAGACTGTATGTTAAATTAAATCAAGTACCTGTAATGCCTGTTCCTGTAACTTAAAAATAAGAGTGATAAATAGCTGTTACAAAATAACGGTGTTATTTCATACTATGTTGTGACCATTTTCTTTTAACTGTTCCATAATAGCAGCCTTTACAGTATTTTACTCTATGGTAACGTCCTTACTTCTCTTTCTAACAAAGCTATAAGACCGATGCAAGAAAAAGAAAGAGCATGTTACAGTGACAGTGTTCAGTAACAACTGTGACGCGATGTAATAGTTTTTATCTCTTTCTAATTAAGGTAACAGTCGTTAGCATGAATAAAAAAAAATCTAGTGAGGGCGTGTTAAGGCGCAATTTGTGTGAACTGAGCTGTTATTTTAATTTGTTCGTAACAGGTATAGCAGGTTATCTCGAGATACCAGTTATATTTAACCTGTTACGATAAATTCACCTCCTAGTACTAGAGTTACCAGACCAGCAGGTCTTGTAACTCTAGGCGAGGCGAATACTGGAACTACTGCTGTAGTTAAAGAAAAATAGAGTAATTTTATAAAAACATAAAAGTAAAATTATAATGTAAAATAAATTGAATAATTATTAATTGATGTCAATGTGAATATCGAATAATGTACAATTAAAAGTGTATATCACATTTTGTAACATCTTATAATTGTTGTTTCCAAACGTACGGTGCAAAAAATCTTGAAAAATTACTAAATATTTTATGAAAACTATGGAAAAGAAAAAAATTATTTATCTCCTGGTCACACTAAATCGATTTTATTTTCAGGAAGTTTGACAAATTGACAAATGAATTTGGCGTAACTTTCAGTACTGCAGTTTATTATTCTCTTCCCGAAAATGGCTTCTATCTTACACCGAACTGCTACTTCATACCTTAAAAATCAAGCACGAGCTTCATCTCATTCTGCGACAGCTGGGGGACATGGAGGTGAGATTTTCATTTCCAAATTCTTGATAATTATGTAATCATATAACCCTTTCGTATCTTATCTGTTTTGAAGTTAAAAATTAATTTTGAAATAATTATTCAAGAGGACCCCTAAATTATGCAAGGGTACAATATAATATTCACCAAGACGGATTGTCTAATTTTACATGAATATGTTGAATGTGTCTAATTCTTCAGTGCTAACCTAAGGGCAAACAACCTTTAAAGGTTTTATATTGATGATCTCAAATCAATTCAGGGAACACATGAACACAGTACAATTTCTCTATCAATTAAAATAATTAGACTTTGGTGTATAAATAAATTAAAAGAAATTGTTAGTGTAAAATGTAAATGAATTTAATATGTTTCTGAAAATAAACTTTTATTCAGGTGGTTATAAACTGTGGAAGAAGCTGTCTTTATTCGTAGCATTCCCAGCAATTGGCCTTGGCATGCTGAATGCTTATCTAGGCCACCAAGAGGAGACTCATGAGCGTCCCCCCTTCGTCCCATATGAGTATATGCGCATTCGTACAAAGGTAATTAAAAGTAACAGTAGTTAAAACCCAATGTTATTGAATTGTAGTAGTTTAACTTGTTTTAATACAATTTGCAGCACAATGCTATTTAAAAAAAGCCAATAGGCTAAAAATGCTTGCCAAAACGAGAAGTTGTTTGATCTTGAACTGAAAATGAAGAGTAAATACTAGCTCGACAAAATAAAACTTATAAACAGCCTCTCAAGAAATAACAAATATTGTGTATCTCAATAGTAGTTTTAAGCTCGCATTTATATTAGATCAGCATTATTAAACTATTTAGGAATAATAGCAGTTTATTTCAGATCTGTATTATTCCTATCAATTTGTGAAATTCTTTTTTGACATTTTCAGAGGTTCCCATGGGGAGATGGCCAGAAAACTCTCTTCCACAACCCGCATGTTAACGCCCTGCCTTCTGGATATGAAGATGAACATTGAACAATGTTATTATTGACAACATTATTGTTAGAAAAACTTTCAGTTGTTCATATAGATTACAAAATTGTGTATTGTAAGTAAAATAAAACATTAAAATACCACTTTAGTTTTTATAACATAACTTCTATATATGCGAATATATATGTATAGGGTGAATTTTATAACTGAATATAAACCTGAGTTTCGAGCTTCTTAATATTTTCAAGAACATCGGAAAAAAGAGTGCAATTCACTGCCTTTTTTTACTTACTTTTAATATTACAGTTCTTAAATGTTTCCTTGGACTGATAAACTGCTATAGACTTATCACTATCAAATTTGTATATAAATGTTGAATGGCCTTAAAATGTTCATTGTGGAACAATTAATTCTTCTATATTGCCCATTATGTTAACCACTTATCTACCACCAATCTACAACCACTAGGTACCACTGGTTTAGAAGGTATCACAAGCAGGTGGTATCAGAACTTTTTTTTGTTGATGAAATCAGTCGATTCATATTAACAAACATACATCATACTTCTTCAGCATACTAATGCACTCCTAGATAATCATCACTACAAATTATAAAACGAAGTTTGTCGCGTCTGTCTGTCTGTTTGCAATAAACTCGATTGATTGCAATGATTTTCATGCTGTTTTCTCCAGAGTGGTTCTCGAGGAAGGTTTTAATATACAGCGTGTCGTTACCATCGCGACAATAAATGAACACACATATAGGGGATAACTTTTTAAAGCTGTATTAAACATTTAAATTCTTTAAACATCAATATTTACAGAGTTATTAAATTTTTCATAACAAAGAATTTTAGAACACCCTTACCTATAAAAGCGTAACTTAAAGTTCATTTGTAAAGGTCACAAAGCATATGAATGGGTTAAATGAATTTAAAAGAGACAAAACATACTGTTAGAAGGAGAGGCTTGTAATACGAAGCTGTGGCGCGAGTTGTATAGGATGTTACAAATTTTGTTTCTTTTTTACTCAATTAGTTTGTTTGAAAAATATTTTTTTTTAATTATGGATTTTGTTTAATTTTAATATTATTTTATGATTATTGGCAAGTAGCGTTATACGTGTGTTCATTTATTGTCGCGATGGTAACGACACGCTGTATAATTTGTCGAGTTATGTACACAATAGCTATAATGATATTTGTTAGAGGCGTCAGAAAAAAAACGGCGTCTGGGAGCTTTCATTGTAAAAGCCGCCTAAATGCATTGAGATATAATAAAATGATGTATGGCGGAATTTCGTATTTTATATAGGTCTATAGAAAAGTCCGTGATGGCATATGGCTTGGGGATAACATGCTATATATCTATATTAATACTTTAAAAAAATGGCCAATTATGAAGCAGTAATTGGAAAGTTAATAAATAATAATATAAAACGGGATCAAAATTTCATGATTGCTTTTGGTCGCGATAACCGAAATTCACGCGGGCGAAGTCGCGTGCATCAGCTTCTCTTCTATATAAATAGAATGATCCAGTTCTGTCGTTGTGTGCAACTCTCAGTTACAGTCAATAAACAAGGTTGCTGTTGCGGCAGTATATATACAACATGTCGTTACCATCGCGACAATAAATGAACACACATATAGGGGATAACTTTTTAAAGCTTGTATTAAACATTTAAATTCTTTAAACATAAATATTTAATGAGTTATCAAATTTTTCAAAACAAAGAATTTTAGAACACCTTACCTATAAAAGCGTAACGTAAAGTTCATTTGTAAAGGTCACAAAGCATATGAATGGGTTGAATGAATTTAAAAGAGACAAAACATACTGTTAGAAGGAGAGGCTTGTAATACGACGCTGTGGCGCGAGGTGTATAGGTGTTACAAATTTTGTTTCTTTTTTACTCAATTAGTTTGTTTGAAAAATATTTTTTTTTAATTATGGATTTTGTTTAATTTTAATATTATTTTATGATTATTGGCAAGTAGCGTTATACGTGTGTTCATTTATTGTCGCGATGGTAACGACACGCTGTATAATTTGTCGAGTTATGTACACAATAGCTATAATGATATTTGTTAGAGGCGTCAGAAAAAAAAAGGCGTTTGGGAGCTTTCATTGTAAAAGCCGCCTAAATGCTTTGAGATATAATAAAATGATGTATGACGGAATTTCGTATTTTATATAGGTCTATAGAAAAGTCCGTGATGGCATATGGCTTGGGGATAACATGCTATATATCTATATTAATACTTTAAAAAATGGCCAATTATGAAGCAGTAATTGGAAAGTTAATAAATAATAATATAAAACGGGATCAAAATTTCATGATTGCTTTTGGTCGCGATAACCGAAATTCACGCGGGCGAAGTCGCGTGCATCAGCTTCTCTTCTATATAAATAGAATGATCCAGTTCTGTCGTTGTGTGCAACTCTCAGTTACAGTCAATAAACAAGGTTGCTGTTGCGGCAGTATATATACAGCATGTCTTTACCATCGCGACAATAAATGAACACACATATAGAGGATAACTTTTTAAAATTGTATTAAAGATTTAAATTCTTTAAACATAAATATTTAATGAGTTATCAAATTGTCCAAAACAAAGAATTTTAGAACAGCCTTACGTATAAAATTTTAATGTAAAGTTCATTTGTAAAGGTCACAAAGCATATGAATGCGTTGAATGAATTTAAAAGAGACAAAACATAGTGTTAGAAGGAGAAGCTTGTAATGCGGCGCTGTGGCAACGAATGAAAAAGTCTCTGAATGTATAAATCAGTCAGATGTAGTTGTATAGGTGTTACAAATTTTGTTTCTTTTTTACTTAATTAATTTGTTTGAAAAATATTTTTTTTAATTATGGATTTTATTTACGTTAATATTTTTTTATGATTATTGGCAAGTAGCGTTAGACGTGTGTTCATTTATTGTCGCGGTGTTAAAGACACGCTGTATAATAGGTAGTATCTTATATGTGGTTTATACTAAATAATTAATTATCAACAAAAATGTATACAGTACTATCCATCATTACTAAATTATAATGGCACTCTTGTAGCATTAGTGTACTGAATGCTTAAATTAGTGGCGTAGGTAGCAAAGAGTACTTTTATACAGGAAGATTTTTTGAGAAGTGCCCAAATTTACACTAGAGGTTCAGACTCAGTAGTATAATCGTTTATTGAAATAGAAAATATAGATTTTTTTTCAAAAAAAATGCCATTCTATTCCCTATTCCCTAAAAAACAGAACGTGTTGACAATGCGGTAGTCAATCATAAATACCTAAATTTTACTGTGCACGAACTCGTGTGTGTGTTAGTTAGAAATGATCCCGCGTAAAAAAATTATAATTTTGCCGCGTATTAAAATTTTGAGATAAGTTCAAATGAATGTAATTAATTAGGTACTTACGAGTAATTTTAAATATTTATTATTTTTTGTATAACATTATTTATGTCTAGAATGTAATAAAAAAGTGGATACACTTAGAAAAGCTACGCTGTATATCTGAAATTTTATTATCTATTATGTTGCATAGCGAAGATAGTGTTTAACCAAGAATTAGAAATTAGGCACAATTAGAGTGTGGGGACTAGCTTGAAAGCATATTTATACAGCGTGTCGTTACCATCGCGACAATAAATGAACACACATCTAACGCTTCTTGCCAATAATCATAAAAAATGTGTATTCAATTATTGTCGCGGTTGTAACGACACGCTGTATAGTAATAACTATTTTTTTTTTTTTAAATAAAAGAAATACGAATAAACGATTACTTATAGCGAATTATTAAGAACAAACACGAATGAACTAATAAATGTGTAAATGTATAAAAAAATAAAAATATGGGAGCCTTGGTGAGCCAATAGGTTTTTGTGTTTTCTATGACATATGCTATAGAAATGCCATCTTAGTTTATTCTTTTATTGTATTTTAAGAACACTACTACATAGAGATGTTGCTCTCTAACTCTACGCTACATTATGAACTACTCTATCGCAGTCCTATTGAAATACTGAAATGCAACGATTTTCCATTATTTTTCACCGTTATTATCCCGATTTTTCTACCGTTTTTGCACTTTTATGTTGACAACCCTTTTCATTTATGTTTAACGTTACGGGAAATCCCTCAACATTAATAGGAATTATGGATGAGTAGCTAGTGCGGAATGTTTCTTTATATTTTAGGGAATAAATACCCTTGAGTCCAACACTCGAGTCACTCGACATTTTAAGGGGTTTCTCGCTCGGGAATGTACTTGTCGGTAGTAACAGGGATTCGGGATTCATATTTTAATTTAATTTTCTTAACTTCGCAAAGAAAACATCCTCAAGCTTATAATTGCGAAGTGCTTTTATAAAGTTAAAATGTCGTCTATTAGCTCTACATGGCGTTAGCTCTGCAGTTGATGCTTTATGGCAGAGTTCAGAGTCACAACAGTTGACAACACTTCCTCAATCCTCAGTGTTGTCAACTGTTGTCACTTGTCTTGTCGTTGTCAGTTATCAGATCAATTAAAATCAAATCAAATCGCCATAAGGGAAAAAGAAGAAGAATCATCAAATTTTAGGAAAATTGAAATGAACTTTATTGATTAGAAGTCAGAAGTCCTTACCTGCCTATACTAAAATATTATTAAAATCAATTTCATATATCTGTTAATGACATAAAAACATTCAAGACATAAAATCTGTTATTATGTGAATCCTAACAGTTCGTAACAATCGGTAAACTTTAAAAAATATTGTTTAAATTCTAACAATATTTTCAAAAATGACGACAGCTTCCCCGAAGGAATTTGGAAAAGCCTGGTGGGCCGAGGTTTTAAACAGAATAATTGGTGCTGTTGTGTTTTTGGACGACAATACCGCTGAATGTCTTCATTGGGATGGAGGATTATTTAATCTTCTCACCGGAGGAGCAGTCGCTGTTAAAAGTTTATCACCTTTTGAGGTTTTTATACTAACATATTTATTTCTTAATGCAGTATTATATTTTAGTAAAATTCTAATGATACTTAATTTAAATGACATCTTCATGCACTGCATCTGAGAATGTAATTAACAAAGATAAGTAAAATATATGGGGATGATGTAGTGAGTCACCCCCCACTTGCCTCCCTGCTGGAGACACTTAGTTTTTTTATTATACAATTTTTAATTTTACTTCTTTCATAGATAATAATCTAATATGAATGTCATGTGGGAGGGTTCCCCTCCTGCCTCTTGTCCTTAACCAGACTTAACAACAGAAGTGCTAATGGTGGTTATAAAAAAATAACCACATAGGCTATAAAAAAAGAACCACAAAGGCTTAAACTTCTAACCTAATCTGTCTGAATGTAGTGCGTATTTTCTCAGGTAAAATACAACAAGTTTTCAACATATTTTTCTCATAAACTATATGTGAGAATTTTCTCTATCGCTTAAAAGTAAAAGTAAAGTAAAGTAACAGCCTATACATGTCCCACTGCTGGGCAAAGGCCTCCTCTATACAGAGGGTATCAGGGCATAGTCCACCACGCGGCCCCACTGCGGATTGGCGGACTTCACATATTTTCGAAATACATTTTTTTTTTGTTATTCCGAAAATATGCAGGTTTCCTCACGATGTTTTCCTTCACCGCGGAGCACGTGATAATTCAGCACTTAAAGTTAAAAACTTCATTGGTGCCGGCACCGGGGATCGAACTCAGGTTGCTCGAGTATACATTGAATTAAGGCGAGCGCCCGGACACTGAGCTATCACGGCTCAGTGTCCTTAAGTTATATCGCGTCTATCGCTTAAGTTTTTTTTATTATTCGCATCTTCGAAAACACTGAAATTTATCAAATTTTGTTCCATTTCACGTTTCTTAAGTTTTTAAGAAATTTTAGAAAATTTGTTATTAAATTTTTACGCGTCTCTGGCGAAAAAAATGCATTAGATTTCTTGGTATGAACCTCCTTAACGCCCCCAAACTTACAGTGTACTTAAATTCGGGCGACTCCATTCAAAACCCAACCCAAACATGTTTTAGATTATATAGCTTACTCTTTTGAGTAAATATCTAGAATGGATATATAATTGTTTTATTCTAAAAAGTAGGCATGACTGCTGATTTTTACTTTTTAATTCAAATTTTTTATCCACAAAGCTTTGTACTAAAAATACAACTAATGGTGTTGATAATTCCTTATTTCTATCACACTTGATTAAAAGAACCTTGTAGTATATTTATAAAATTGGTATGTATTACAGTGAATATTTATTAATATTACATTGTTTTCTTTTAGTTTTCGTGTAAAGAACATAAAAAGGCAGTGTTTATAACTCAAACAACTTCAACTCAGTTGCAAACAATTCGTGAAATAATAAAGAGCAGCGAATTTTCACATTGTATTCTTATTTCATGTATAAGCTTGGATTTAGTTTACTTAGAGCTCAATGATGGGAAAGATGTCAGTGATGTTGTCGCAGCTGGTAAGGCATCAAGCGAAGCTACAAAGCAACTGGAAGGAATGCTTGTTGAATGGATAGGAAAGAAGGTTAATTTTAAACATGTTTCTTTACTTTTATTTAATATAGATAGCATTGTAGTTGCTCATTGTATGTTTAAATTACTATTTTAATATCAAATGACTATATGCTATCAAATGACTGAGGTTTTGTGCAATATTTGTAATTAATTATTTTCAGCAATGTGCTACTGAGGTAGTTCATATACCAATATTCACAATATCCCCAACTAATATTGTGTTTCTAACACCCCCATATCAAGAAATGTACCCAACATTTAATGGGAAGTTAATCCCTGAATTAAATTCTATTGACTTATATACTCTGACCAGTAAGGAACGATCTCAAGTACGAAGACTTGCCAGTAGTTTAAACAGTATGTTTGATTCCATGAATTTTAAAGAAGATATATTCTATATGGGTGCATACAGTTCTTTGATTGCTGGGGTACTAGAAAATTCTCCAGTATGTTTGGCACGAAGAAAGGTATGTATAATTGTGTGAAACAAATAATTTCAACAACAACAACACAAATGAACATAATTCATTTGATAGAAATAAACCTGATTAGAAGCATTGAGAATAGGAGAAGAGTGTAAAACATAAAAATATACTAAGATTATGGTAAACAAAATTATGAAAAACTGTAAAATGTTGCAGAATTGTTCAAATCCTGTGTCTTTGATAATAGTGGACCGCACATTAGACCTTTGTGGTGTTACAAGTCATTCCATGGAGTCAGTATTAGACAAAGTAATGTATGTGCTACCAAGATTCCCTGGACATTCAAATGATGTTGCAGTAGATATGTCACCACTGTGTGAGGCTAATATGTAAGTTTGTATTGCATGTCCACCAAGGGGCCCCGCTGCATATAAGGGGACTTCTCATATCTTTGAAATATATTTTATTATTTTGAAAATGTTTAGGTTTCCTCACAATTTTATCCTCCATCACTGAGCAGGTGATAAGTCAGCACTTAAAATTAACAATTTTATTGGTACCAAGGATTGAACTCCATTATTGCTTGAGTATATTAAATTAATGGTGAGCACCTATAAAGTTTGGTATAATTTATGTTAGAAGGTGACAAGTGTAGGACCCATAGGTACCTAAAAGACTGTGGTGCCTCAATCACCAGACACAATGCAAAAGTATAACATTTCCACTTCCATGCCAGTCTACTGAAATGCTGCAATACTTCCTGGGCAAAATCTGCCCATTCATGCAACAACAGAATTTGCTAACTCACTTTATATTGATTATAAGTCAAAAGATTAAATTATAAAACATTTCCTTCTTGAAATTTTCTTAGCAATGACACTAATTTATTGATTTGTTCTCTTCAGCATATCACATCCTGATGACATCCAATTGAGTCCGGGATGTATTTACCATGCTAATGATGAAGCTTGTATACAAACATTTGATTACATGGTTAATAAATCTCAAAAGGAAGTGATGTTTGACCTGTATAATAAGCTCTCTAAGATTGATGTGCAAAAGTCACCAGGACCTAAAACTTTACTTAAAGTCACACCACACAGTTTAGAGAAAATTGTTAATGCTTCTAAAGGTAAAATCATCATAGTAATCTATAAATAGTAATTTCATCATAATAATTTTATAATATCTTACTGTTGATGGACTTGACTTGTGAAAATGATGTATATTATAAATATAAAACTAACAAGAAATGTTGTGGGTGGTTAGTTCTGAGAGTGAGAGTATCTATTTATATTTTCAGGAAACTATGACATAATAAGCAACCACTTAGGAGTTCTACAGCAAGCTTTAGGTGTAGTACAAACTTTGAAGTCTTCAAAGCGTAATGAAATGGAGCTTTTAATGAATTTAGAAAGGCAAGTACACCAGAGTCTTTCTGCAAGCAGGGATTCCACTAGTGTTTTGCATCAGGTATGTTGGCTCCTGGTTATAAAACATATATGCAAAAGTTGTCAATCTACTAATTAATGTTAGTACAGAAAAGGATAGTTTTAAAGATTTTTATATCAGTAAATGTAGTAATGAGTGCTTGCTTTGCACTTTTCACTTTTGCACATACAAAGTTGTTTGCACTCAGTTGTTAATTGAAATTTACATAATTATTTTTGCATATACCACATACATACAATTCTATTTGGGTTGAATTTTTGTTTATTTATGACATCTCTTGCCAAAATTTGTCCATTTTTAATTTTAATTTACAGATATGTCAACTTATTAAGACACGCAAAGAGAGGAGTCTCTCACTTGAAAGTCTATTAGCATTGACTACGCATGTGTACTCCCTGATCGGGACCGAGGTATTATTTAAGAAGCAACATGAAGACAATCTTGCCGAGACACTAGGTGTTGCCATATTTGAAGATCATAAAACTTTCTTTCGCCACTTGGACAACTTAAGTATTGCAACGCCTGAGGAATGTGCTGAAATAGCAAACAGAATAATGGCAAGATTGAAAGATGTTTCGCAGATGAGAAAGATTTTACATAGGTATAAAATATTGTTATCTCAAATGTTTAAACTAAAGTAGCGTAAATAAATAAAAAAGGCTATGAGTTATTCACATATCATTGCAATATTATATTTATATTACATTGAGAAACATGATATATGTATCAAATGTTTATTTTAAAAAATATCCTATAATTAGTTCGTATTTGAATGCAGTTACTTTCCATTTTTTTTTTTCTTTTTTTATTTGATTTGGCTAAAATTTTAGAAAAAGTGCTCAGCATATGCCTAAATTGAATAAAAGACTGTTGTTTTTGATAGATTGAGAGAGAACCAGAGATTGATCAAAAAAATTTAAATAAGTTATCACAAAACTTGTACAAGCTTTGGTCCCAGAATCTGTAAAAGTATGGAAACAGGGGACTGTGTGATATTGTGTAAGGTGAGTGGATCATCCGTTAAAGTGTTTAGGTATGTTCCGCTTGCAGGTACACGTCGGTGCTCTGCCCTTGCGTAGCTGGCGGCGGCCACGAGTATCGGGGAGTGTTGGCGCAGCTCATTGACGACGTCGTGGACTCGGACCGGCCCGAGCTGCAGGACCTGCGTCACAGGAACGAGGGCCTGAAGGACCTACTGCGCAGCGGCTTCAGGTGAGAGCCCCTATTTATGCAGTCGTGCAAGTTGTCACATCTCACGTTGCGAATTGGAAGGCAAGTGTCATTCAATAGTACTGTAATTGAAGGAACATTTACGATTTTTTTTACTTTTATAATTAATTTGCACACTTAATGTGTCCAATATTGGCGAACTTATAAATTAATGAATAAACAGTTATGAAGTGTTCTGAATGATAAATACTTAAGTATGTAGTTATATAAATGTATTATTATGGCTATGCTTTATAGTTAATTAACCATTCACGAATATTACGCAAATTTTCTTTTGTTTATGCGATTCATTTTTTATGATCCAATTTATTTATAAAAAATTATACTCTAATATATTGTTAACTATCTCAATAACTAGCTATTTTTGCCCACACAGCGAATATGTTTTCCATTGTACATATAAAAATGTTCTTTAGTGTGTAAAAGTAAAGTAATTTATGCCTGCATATATCCCACTGCCGAGCAAAGACCTAGAGGGTAGATACTTTCTCTACAGAGAAGAATAGAGATATATTATACGCATATTTATTTGTGGGTCTTTGGGAGAAAATGATATACCTTATGCATATTTTTTTTAAGTGAGAAGATGGCAAGCGGGCTGGTGCTTCACCTGATGTTAAGTGATAACCGTAGCAACAATAAAGAAATAAATTATTTATTTGTTTGTTTAATGTTAATATCTCGTAACAACAAAGAAATAATTTTCCCCCTCACATTCAGTGGCACCGTCTTGCTTTGCGAGTTCTCTTTAAAGGGTTAAATTTTTGTTTACATTCGTTTGCAGCATGCTCACGAGCAAGAAACCGCGCAGCACGAAGCATCCACTGGACAATCCGACGGTTGTACTCTTCGTGGTGGGTGGCGTGACCGCTGAGGAGTGCAAGCAGCTGCATCGGAGTGTCATCACCAGCGGCATTGACAACACCCTCCTGATCGGCTCCACAAAGTTCGTTAACCCCGCCGAGGCGATGCGAGACGCTTTGGCCTTATAATATATAACTCAATCAAAACTTCCAAGATTGCGGCATCCCTCAAATCCAAGTGAAAATAAGAACTTCTATATGATTCCTCACTGGTGTCGGCCTTGTAGCACTTAAAGCTAGTATACAAACGCAACAAATGTCCTAAAGGTCCATAAAGTATTCCAGCAATGGGGCATATGTACACACAGTATGTACTCTGTTTAGTTGAAAAAAAAAAAAACATTCACTTTGGTTGAAACTCGGACTGTAAAAAGCTTGTGGGTTTGGCGACTTAAAATGGAAGTAGTGTTTTTGGTGATTTTAAACGCCGGCAATGCAATTAAATTCACATTGTTGATGCTGAAAGATTGGTTGAATAATATATGCTATATATTATTAATGTAAAGCCCAGTGAAAGGAAATATTTTATTCGCACAATCCTTACTAATATTATAAATGCGAAAATACTATTGGATGGATTTTAATGAAACTACAATAATATAGCTAATACATCAGAATAACACATTAGTTATAATTTATGTATATCTTGTCATATTTTTATGTACATTTGTCTCTCTGTCTGAATGTTACACCTTCAGCCTTCTTGTATCTTGTATTAACTGAGGTTTTTGCTTTCAGTCCCGAGAATATTAAAGCTTCATTTGACGCAGAACCGGTGGGCTAGACAGAACCCACGGGCTTGGGCCCTCCGCGGTGGTTAGGGCCGCGCATGTGCTGATACGTGCGTTTAACTATGGTATGTCGTCTAAGGGCCATCGAGGTTGCGGTTCGGTTCGGGCCGGGACCCCGATGGCCGTCGACTGCGTTTTTACCTAATCGGTGGCTGAGGGCGGTGAGAACCGCCCAGGACCGCGGGTGTACCTTATGTAGGCTGTGTTGGTCTCGCCGTGCTTGAAGGCGAGGGCGAACTATGGTGTATGTCGTTACACTAGCTGTGGGTGTTCCTTCAGCCTGTTCTTCGCAGACGTAGTCGCGGGCAGCAGCTAGTGTATCAATGAAATGTATTTAATATCGCTTTATCAAGTAAGTATTAAGGATAACTGATCACATTAATTCCACAGGAGAATACCAACTTTTTTTTACTGTCACACACTGTTTTGTGTACTGGACAAAAATATAATAACATCTATGTTTGTATTTGGTTCGTCCTGTATGTAATGATAAAAATGTAGCAAAATGATATGTAGTTACAAGTTTTATGGATATTGAATTTGCTTGATTTTATTCATGACATTTTTCTTATAAATTCCTTTTATTTTATAAACGCTTTTATTCCAAATTGATTTTAGATTAATTTCACTTGCGATTGTTTTTGATATTATATGTATTATTTATGATTGAAATAATTAATCATTTTTCAATAATTTTCAGTTATAATAATATTTAGGTTGCGTCTTTGAATATGGTGTAAATTTTGAATTGTTAATATAGTTTTAGTTTATAAGAAATAGAGTGCAATGCAATTACAATGCAAAAAAGAATGAATTTTTTCTTAACTGTTTGTTTCATTACTATAATTATTAGTATTTAATGAAAAGGAACTGCATTATTCATCTTTAGGCTATTGTCTAATAGATGGCGCAAATAGCTAGACACTACAACCTTTACATGTTCTGATCTACTCAACGATAGATGGCATTGCTCGCTAATAACTTTCTAAATGCCAATTTGAGCTAAGTATAGGTTTTTTCGTTAACGTTAACGTCGATTCATTTTCGCCAACTAGTTAATGTGATGCTTATCTATTTGCATAAATGGACTGATAGATTAATATACAATTTTAAATTAATAACTCTACAAAAAAAGATGTAATACGAAGAAATATATGAAGTAAAATTCTGATATTAACCGCAAATTATGTTTAGACATAATTTGCGGTTAATATCAGAATTTTTAAAGGTTAGACCTTACGTGCAGTTTACAAATTGTCAAACAAAAATTTAAGATCCAAAGCATGACCTTAAAATTAAAAAAAAATGTGTCAAATAATTATCAGCAAGTACGTTATTTTCAACGTAAGTTTTTAAATTTATTCAGTTATTTTTGCGTCGTCGAACGTCGTTGATGATTTCAAATAGTTGATTTCATGTAGGGGTTAAAGTTGATTTAACTAGTTCGTTGATTCAACGTCCATCGGTAATAGGAATCGCGTAAATAATAACCATGTAAGGGTGTCGTGACATAATTACAGTCCCAAAAATTAAATATTAGAGCCATTTCTTAAAGCCTATATCTTGATATAATTGTAGATTTCGAAATTAAGTATTAGTAGAGCGACTTTTACAGTGTTTTAGCAAATCATTAAAATTTGCTAAAATTTCAATGTGATCCTTACTGTTTTAAGCAGTATTCATACCAACTTAGAATACAATAATATCTAGTTTTTAATACTGTTAATACTTGAGAACTGCCAAATGAGTGAAGCGGAATAGAAATAATGTCTTAGAAGTCTGTGCGTTGTTTATTGAAGACATTAAAACATTAGATGAGAACAAAACACACATAAAATACAGCATATCCTCTTGTATACATTAATATATATATCTAAAAACCACTTAATGTACATACATTTGTCACATATTTAGCTGTGAACAGTAATAATACAGTGTTAATACTTTGATGTAGAAGGATATAAATTATAATATACTAAGGAATTTGTCACTCAATGAAAGCATTTTTTAACAGAGAATGAAAGTAGATCACTACATTCTCGTCTTTAAACATTATGTTTGTAAAATTAGAGGTATAGGATTGAATAAGTTAGGTTGCTCTAAATAATAACATTATTAAACAGGAACATTTGAAATACTATAAAAATTCAATGGCACACAACTATTTTTTCTAAGAATGACATATTTTAAAATATTTACGGCATTAATTTTCTTATAATACAATTATCATTTAAACATTGATTGAACCCTCATATTATGCACAATATGAGATTTTTACTATATACTTAACACTATGAATATTTTATAGAGTAAAATTAGATAAAAATGAAAGATCTTTTCTATTCGTTATTATATCATTATGAAATCACCACTCACTCACTTTTTATCTAAATGCATCTAAAATAAGAAGAAAAAAATTATATACAAGTTTCAACGGTTATCTAACTTAAAAATACACCATTTCATGGCAGTAATATTTTCTTTTTTATTGCCAATCACATTCTTAATATAGAAGAAATTTCCAATTTGTTAATTGAAAACTACTTCTTGATTTAATTAGCGAGAATACAAAAGAAAACATCTAAGCATAGTCAAATTATAAAATGCGACCCAATAACTCAACACGTTATTTTTCTTAATATTGAAATTTTTTTAATACTGATTAAACTGTTATTCAGATCGCATATAATAAAAATTAAATTTTTATCGTAATAATTGAGTATTCACTTAGTCATTTCTAAGGCCTTGTGCTTTGATTATAGTATACTTGTCTATATAATCAATCAAAGCCCAAAGGTCTTGTGCTTGTGTGTAACATTTGTTTTATATGGTCCATAGATTATAAACACAAAAGTGAGTACATTCTTTATGATCGTCAAGCATCGTGTGTTTCCGCTAATGAAAGTCATCGAACTACGTGTGCTAACCGTCGACGGGGAATATGCGTAATTGGCGTGGAAATTACATATCCATGCTCTATCAAGTACAGGCAGAACTCAAATGCGCCTAATTGAAGATTCCTCCGCCTTATCGGCTTGAGTGCAAAATAAGTTGAGTAGAATACAAAACGGAAGTAGGAACAAAAAGTAGAATTCAAGAAAGTCGCAGAATCGTACGTTCACAAAACCGAATAGCAACATAGTTCGCGACTGTACACTAATTTGTAAAGTGAGCTAAACGGAGAACAGATACGCTGTGCATTTCGCGCAAAACTTAAACACGCCTGAGTCTAGTTGGCACTGCAAACCTCGAGTATCGCCGAATGCAAAACTTTTTATAGAAGAAAAAACAAATATTTACAAAAGGAGCAACTAAACATTTGTTCGCGACTGTACCAACGTATAGTATTTAGTAAGATCAAGACAGAACGCAAAGTAGACTCCGGCGGGAACGCCTACCGACATATAGCACCTTCTATAATTGTAATTACTGAGCTCTGAGCTTCAAATGGGGCTATTTAGCGGCTGACGACAAATACACAGCGACAAATACACACCAGGATATTCAACCCTGACCCAATTTGTAAAGTAAGCTAAACTTATAAATAATATTTCATATAAATTGCGTTTTTAAATTACAACGTGGAGTACATTACGGGTTATAGTATTTAAAAATATAGGTTAAGCCGATGCATTAGTCGACCGCAGCGCCATCTGAATCGTCATTCGACAGTGGATTCACCTTTGGTATGCTCAATTGCGTGATCCGTATATAACGCTGCGACTTTGATGAAACTCGGGGGCGTCAGGCGCATTTGAGTCGTACTATTACAGAAGTTATACTTCTTTTAGCGCGTTTGGAAAAGGGTTAATTTTTGTGACACCTAAAAGTGACACCGACCTAATGGCGTTACCATGGCAAACGAAAAAACTTTTTGACATTAACCCATAATGTCAAGTTATTAAATAGAACCGTTATCGAATGCATTTAATGATTTTTTTTTCACAAACAAACAGTACTGGCACACTAGAAAAAAAATCTGGTTAGTTTTCTTTTGTTTAAAGAAGTACGATTTATTTTACATTGTAGGGGTGATTTTCTCGCGCGTTAATTGATTCCGTCGACGTCGCCGCCCTTCCTGTAATCGGCGTTCGCGTATATAGCCGTTCTGTTCCTGTAGACAGCGCAGACAGTTGAGCCTCGCTGCCTGTAGCGTTGCACGGCGTGGCCCTTCGCTTCCAAACCTTTGATTACGTCCTGCAATATGTATATTTTATGTAACAATGTGGTAAACGAGCTATTGTTTCACCTGATGTTAAGTAATAACCGCCGCCCATGGACATTTGCAACAACCTATGGGTTGCAGAAGCGTTGTCACCTTCAAATAAAGTGCGCCCCGGCTACCTCACTCACCAGACGAAAGTACAGTGTACAACGAAATACAGTTCTACAAACATGTATGCTGGCATTTGTATGCTGGAAAGGATATAACAATAGATACGCCAAGCATTGCTTCAAATGCTAAATAACAATGTAGAAAGAAGGCGTTAAGATTTTCGTCGCTGTGGCTATCAGCCGTTTAGCTCAGTGGCTAGAGCGTCAGGCCGCGAATGCCGAAGACGTGGGTTCGATTCCCATAGTGACGACAATCTTTTCGTACTTTTTCTACATGTTTTAAACATCCTAATTTCAATAGAGCAGATGGTTGGAGTTTATCATCTGCTTGGGATCCCATAATTTATAAAATTAAATTCAAGCACACCAACACTGCCAGATCTCAAGATACCATAAGCTCCGTCTGCGTGGATCGGAATAAAAATAAACAAAATAATTGACGCTACGACATCAAGACGTATAACAACTTAGTCTGTCCCGTGACCATGATCGCTGGAAAGGGTTCGAAACGTAGGGAGTTCAAATCAAAATAAAAAAAACGCAATAAAATCCGTAATAGTATCCTAGTAATCTAAGTATCCTAGTTTCATTTAATAAATAAAATAAAAAATCGTGGAATAAAATGACATTAAAGTACCATGAATTTCTTTACTTTTTTAGCATCCAATCTTTTTTTAACTTCAACGCTGCCTCGTATTTTCTATATCACTTTTTTGAATTGGTTAAAGAACATTCATAGTTGTGTTTATGTGAACTATATTGATTTTGCTGCGAAGGCGGAACGTAACAAATGAAATATTTTTTTTTTTTGAAAAAAAATAATTACTTTCATATTCAAACCCTTAAATTGTTCTGTTAAAATGGTTTTTTTAACCCTCCATAATATAAATTAAAAAAAATATGTTAAACAAATTTATGAAAGCGTCATTTGAAAAAAGAGCAATTACCGTCGTCACGCCGTATTCGTAGTCGATGCGCATCGGCAACAGCTGGTGGTATAGTCGCGGTTCGTCCACCGCCTGCTTCACCGTCTGCCCGAACCAGAGCTTGCGAATGATCACCTGAGCATGAAATCACAAAACAAAATTTTAAAAGAAATGCGAAATCGTCGCTTGGATGCGACGTTTTTTTAATTTGACAAAGGATAAAGAGCAACGCTTTGATGCATCGTATTTAAATACGGAATGAAAAGTACGCCGCTGGCAATTTCCTATTTTTGTACCAAATTAAAAAAAATACTAATTAACAAAAATAACGTTTTCCTACGTTGGAGATTTATTTTTAGGGTTCCGTACCCAAAGGGTAAAACGGGACACTACTTACTAAGACTCCACTTTTTGTAAAAAAAATAAAAAATAAACAAACCCACCAGGGCGACGGCCGTGGTGATCTTGGTGCCAAAAAACCCACCAGGGCGACGGCCGTAATGATCTTGGTGCCAAAAAATAACCTACCAGGGCGACGGCCGTGGTGATCTTGGTGCCAAAAAACCCACCAGGGCGACGGCCGTAATGATCTTGGTGCTAAAAAAATAACCCACCAGGGCGACGGCCGTGGTGATTTTGGTGCCGCCCGAGGCGCCGATCACCACCTTCGCGTTGCCGGCGCGGTCCACGATGATGCTGGGGTTCATCGATGATAGGGGCCTCTTGCCGGGCGCTATGAAGTTCGCCGACGAGGGCCGCACGCCGAAGTAGTTCACGATGCCCGGCGACGAGAAGTCGTCCATCACGTTGTTCATCACGATGCCCGTGTTGAGGGTCGAGAAGCCGACGCCGAAGCTGGAATGGGTGACATGGTGTCGATTCTCTTTATGGGATGGTAAGGGACAATCAAGAAGTTCCGGCAACTCGTGGTGGAAGATGTGTCGTGAGGCTCAAGAAGGTCATTTGATTTGCTTTATGGGAAAGTGGTAAGGGACAAGCGGGTAGTTCAATGTGATCGGTTTATTGCCGTGGTCTTGTGTTGAAACCATTGAGTGAAGGTGTGGATACGCTTACGTGGGTCTCGATTTTCTTTATGGGATGGTAAGGGACAAGCAAGAAGTTCAACGTTATTGGTTTATTGCCATGATATTGATTTGAAAACAATTGGTGAAGGTGTGGAGAGTATTACGTGGGTCATTGAATTTTCTTGATGGAATGAATGATGGTAAGGGATAAGCAGGAAGTTCAACGTGATCGGTTTATTGCCACAGTCTTGATTTCAATCCATTGATGGGAGACTTGTCGAGAGTTTTAAGAAGATCGTTGGATTTCGTTTAGGGAATGGTGGTAAGGGATAAGCAGGAAGTTCAACGTGATTGGTTTATTGTCAAGGTCTCGAGTTAAATCGATGAGTTTAGAGGTCTCGAGAGGCTTATGTTTGTCATTGGATTTTCTTGGGGTGGTGGTAAGGGACAGACAGGCAGTTTAGCTGAGGTGATTACCGCCGACCACGGAGATCTACAATAACCATGGAGCTGCAATTGCATCGATAACCGTTAATAGAATCAACCTCTGTATAACTCAATGACACAGTGGCGCGGCTGCTAGCTGCACTTATCTGCCTAATGGCGAACGAGAGCCAAAGTCTGCGAGACCAAAAGGATTAAAGACAACTGGAGGCTTTATGGTGAACCAAAGTCTAATCGAGATTAAAAAGTTCGGGGACATCCGGAGGCTTTATGTTAAGGCAAGTGGCCGCTCACTAGTAGTTGATCGAGCTGGTGACGGAGACGGCGTCCCCGTTGGTCCCGATGATGGAGATGTGGGCGGTGCCGCTGTCGCCCTTCGAGTATTCCGTCGCGCCGTACGTGGCCGTGTCGTTGCTGGTCATCGTGTCGTTGATCCTCATGCGGAGCTGCTCGCCGTACTCGCGTGACGTCACGTTCTTGATCAGCTGCGGCGCAAAATAGATAGTCTATCGGATTTGTTGACAGATTACTCTTTTCCTGTCAGGTGCATGCCTTATTTGACTCGAGTGACGTCACGTTCGTGACCAGCTATCTGTGGATCGCACAAATAGTTGTTTCGTGTGGGAATCTAGCCCGCGACCCCCTGTGCCGAAGCCAAACCTTGGCAACTGCGTTACGGAGTCACGAAATATGGACTGTGGATCGATTGGATGCAGCACTCAAGATCATGTGTCCTGGAAGTCTGTGGGGGAAGCCTTATTAACTGACGATGATGACGTTAGTAACACGTCGCCTTGGATTCGGTCTTGTAATTAGACGGTAAGATATTTACTGAGCTAGCTAAACTTATCCTCCCCCCCCCCTCAGTTTGGAAACAGTGGAAAATTAATAAAGGCATTGAATTCTTACACCGTCCAAATGCAGGAAGTCGGCGTCGCCCAACTTGGTCCTGGTTGCGTACGCGTACTTGAAGGCCTCTATTATTCGGTGGTAGGTGAGGATCTTGTCTTCCGCGGTGTTTATGCTGAGCGACGTGAAGTTGTAACCGCTCAGTATGTTCAGTATGTTGACTAGTATCAGTCCGCTGCTCGGCGGCGGCGGGGTGTACAGAATATCGCCGTTGCTAAGGGGCACCTCCAGCGGTTCCGTCACCTTCGCCCTGGCACCAAAACGATTTCGGGTTTCGATAAAAGGAAACCAGATTCGATCGACAAAGCCTTTCTATTGTTGAAGTGAAACTTCTCAGGGCGGATATGATAGCTACAGGAAAACTGAGAGTGAAATATCAAGAATATTAAGGCACGTTTCGTTACACGAGAGAGAAGGATATAAAGTAAAGAGAAAGAGAAAAGAGATATTTTGAGTTTTGTGAATTTACTGAGCCCATTCCTTAGATGGAGAACGATCTGCGACACTATCGGTGTTGTCTTCAACAACCATGGGGGTTAAAATCACTTTCTATCATCAGATGAACTATCTGTTTCTTTGCAATTACACGACATAACAGATTGCAATCAACTGCGAAGAAATATCTATTTTGAACGAGCACGGATTTATACTATAATAAATTAGCAAAATTGATATTGCAATTACAATGTATAAAAAACTGAATAAAATTTATCACTGATCGGAATTCTTAACATGTTATATATAATGATTTGTTTTGTACATAAATGTTAAAGAAAAAAAAAGAACGGTATTGGATTTATCAAATAAATTTCTAGGTCACACGGCCTCGTGCTATTTAAATATGTAGTGCTTTTGAATTAGAAAAGAAAAATTAAACCGTTAACCTAAATGATTGTGGAATATTCGACCCGTTTCTGTTATTTCAATGTCGGCATAAAAAAAATAAGATCGAAACGGGCAAAACAGACGTCGTGGAATCGTCCTATTTTCATTTCGGTATATTTTCGTTCTTTGTCCTCAATTCGTGTTTTGGCACAGTAAACAGTTTTCTTTATATAATTATTGATTCTACATTTTACAAACAATGATTAGTGTGAACGTTTTCTAAATAATAATAGCATTAAAATTTCGTATACTAATTCGGAATTACTATTATAGCATATCTTTGTTTTTTTACTTATTTTATAATTATTTTTGATAACGTTATTCCATGTTCGAATCCTGGCAATGCCTTTTTTAAAATTCAAAATATTAAAAAAATTCTTTAAATATTTTGGAATTTGATGGATGTAGTATTTATTATATAGCATTTATATATAGCCGTGTAGATGACGGATCGGCTACCATCCGAGTCTTATTTTGGATGACAATCACTGGCACATCGAAAGGATGGAAGGGTCGCATTCAAAGAACGGAATACTTGAAAATAATCATAAAGACTTTTTATTTTTTTTTATGCGAAAAGTTGTCAAACGAGCAGACGGTACACCTGATGTTAAGTGAATACCGCCGCCCGTAGATGTCCATATCTGCTACACCCGAGGGTTACATATGCATTGACAACCTTTTGAAAATTGGGCTCCGGCTACCTCACTCACCAGACGAAACGCGAAAGTATTTGTCATACTTCCACTTTACGCTGGTCTTCTGTGAGGTCGTGGTACTTACCCGTACGGGCCTGTCCATTCGTGCAACAGCCGAAGCTACTGCGTGGCCTTACCACCGTAATAAATGTCACTGGGGACCTTGACTAGGCCAAGCCTTGAATCAAAATCACAATTTTTTAATGAATAGCGAATCGTAGAAGTCTAATTATTAATTAAATTAAATGTTAATTATGAAAAAAAGAAACACATAAGAGTGAAGTTATAGTGAGTTCGCCTTTAATAGTCGATTTTGCTATCAGACCTTTGTGCTCATATTAAATGCAATCACGAGGAGTAATGTACGTATCGCGAACTGACCTCCTGTAAGTTTCCACGTATCAATATAATTCGTCGCAACATTGTTATCAATACCTAATTACATACGTACATCTATAAATATGTCACGTACATGTGCACATATTATTTACTGCTATTTTTATTTCATTATGTTTCAATTTTTTTTTCTTATATAAACGAAAGTTTTCGTTTTTTTTATTTTGACGGCAACTTTATTGGAACTTTTTCATAGTTGTTAGCAGAGTTGCATTCACTAAGCACTATTAATTTTCAAGTTATTCAGTAGTCAGTTTTCGCGAAAGTCTATTGGTTATGTTTCATCTTGAATTTGGAATTGCTTTTCCATTATATGTTTTCAGTGTTACAACTTCGTATAACTCTTTCTCTGTTAAACAATTTTTTTAAACAAACTTCCTGATGAGGTAGAGGCTTTGAAAGTATATTTTAATAACTGAAAATAATAAGCAGTAATTTTTAAAACAATTAAAATGAACATAGCAAATAAGATGACGTCCCTCACAATTGTAAAATACGTAAACAAAAAATATCTAGAAGTAGGTACTTTAATTTAGGCGTTTAAACCCCGTGACCCTATAATAAATACGGCATTAGAAAGACTTGTGTAGAAATACAAAACCTGTTAATATAGGGAAGGTAATTTATCGTTTCTATATATACAATGACTAATGCAATTTGTATCGTTTTGTTTTAATTCAGCTTTGCACAGGTGTTAAATGTATGAATAATAAAAATGGCGTCTGTCGCCATCTTGTGAAATGACGTTGTCAGCAATGGTATCGAATTGTCGAGAAACTTTATCGAATTGCGAATTTTAATCGTAGACTGAAATTAGAAACGGGTGAAAAGCAATCATAACAAAATATAATACAATGTCCGCACGATTTCTTGGGTTTAGGTACTGTTACCATAAATTACCCACTTTAAACAATTCTAATAAAATAATATAATATATAATATAATCTTTATTTTTATTTATTATTTATAAACCCAACCAGACGAGAAAACAAATGAATATCCCCCCAATAATATAATATACTATTACATCTCTAAATAGATGACACTATTACTACATGACAAAACATAATTGCTGTCATTGTAAGTATAGTTAAGTAAGGTTGACTGGTTGGTATATACAGGAAGACCTTGTGACTGTTTATAGGTTCGATAAGTTCTTTAATAGATGATCTTATAAAGGTTAGTGATATTGTTAAAATGAGGTCAGAAACGATTTATTGCCGGGGAAAATAACACGGGTGCTATGTATATTTTTTGAATATCGACAAATACTTGTTTGCATATTTTTCTATAGAAGAAATGTATACTGCGTAGCTAATTATTACTACTCTTTGTTTCGTATACTTCTGCGTCTCGTACTTAAATCAATTGGGTAAAACGAGTCACCAACAGCAGAAATAACTAAGAAACATTTTATTATAAAGACCGTGGTATCTCGGTGACTGGCGATTGACTCATATTCTAATGTAGCTGGTTCAAGTCCCAATATGCACCAATATTTAAGATCGATATTTAAGATCTCTTATGTGCAATGGACACTTTTTTAAATTTGCGTTCACGACCAATACTTACCAAATTACTAAATCTATTGAAACGCAGCAGATAGCATTATTATTTATTTTTTACCTCTTTACGTTTAATAGACGCGAAGATTTGTAAAACAATACATTTTATTTTCTAAAGATAGCTCTTACTTTAAAAGTGATGCGTAAGACGTTATTTATTATGTGAATTGTGTTATCTTCCACAGCGTTTTTTACATGCTTGAATGAATTGGTTCAGAATGTACAAAACCATTTGATAACGTATGATCGCGGAAGGTAAAACTTTTTTTATTGTTAGATTTTATTTTAATAACGATACGTAACATTCGATAAATAAAATAAGTATTCCATTTAACTGGTTTGTTAATTTTGCGTGTCATTTTCTCTTCGACTTATCCGAGCTGTCTACACAAAAACTAACGGACGTAGCTATGCAAAATAGAACCAACTACCGCTAACGTTTCTGGATAAATGTTTCAAAGCGGAATATTGCCGTACTACACATTCTATTACAGATCTAAGATTCGCCGCTTCTTTATCTTGAGTAATTTTGCAATTTTACAATTTGATTACAAACTTCATTAAATGAAGTTTTTTTTTAACACGTTGAACGCCACGTGACTATTTTCACGTGGCGTTCAACGTGTTAAAGTGATATTTCTTGATTCTTAATTACATTTTGAGCTGATCGTAAGTTCGTTCCTAACGGAGTTTCCCCTACCACAGTTGTTTTTGCTTTAAATATTTAAACCGTAATTCAACAGTGTTACAAACTCCCTAATAACGTAGGATACTTGAGAGCAACTATAAGGTTGTGTTTACGGTCTGAACGTGTTTACAACGGTTGATAAAGCGGTCTGAGACTACGTGACTCGAGCCATCGTTGTTGTTTACCGGATTGTATTGTGCTAATCCCTACAAAACGGCATATGATAACAATTCAAAACAAAAATATTACTGCGTCGTTCTTTATAACTGATAAGTTTTGCGATTTAAACGTAGGTACCAAAATATAATTAATACAAATTGAATATTTTTATCTGATATAAACATTAGATAACGTTTTTTTTTTGCTGTTTAGTTTGTAAATAATTAAAATGTTGACATCTGAAATAATTTCGTATCGCTTCGTTATTTACGAAAACTGTTTGTTTATAATGGAAGAATAGATCGTAAAGGAAACTCACTTATCACACACTTAGTTTCAGATGAGACAGCTTTGAAACCACCGGACTACCGGTCTGTTATTTGTGTAGCGGGATTATGTATGTAGGTATAGCATTAGCTATCTCTTTCCCACGTGACGATAGACAGATATAACTAAGGTGTGCACGTGTTCTCCTTTTTACTATGCTCAGGTTAGGCAAACAGAGGTTAGGAGCATACTCTATCACGTTATGGGAGATTAGCTTACCTATACCCGCGACTTCGTCAAACAAAGAAAACACAAATCACTGAATACGTAATGCGTATAACTATTGTTTCTTCAAACTTTAATATATTTACATTAAATGAAGATATCAAAATATTGCTTTTTCAACAAGGGGCAAGTATCTAAAAAGTAAAACATAGAAGAATCAACTGAAATCTATCCAGCAGTATTTTCGTGCGCACACAATACGCAGACCTCATTTTATAAATTAATGGTGGGTAAGTTAAAGATGGACGACGTAGTAGAAGTTCAGGTTACTATTGACCAGTTTTTTATGATGTTAACTTACTGATGTTAAGTGAATACCGCCGCCTATGGACATCTGCTACAACCGAGGGTTCCAGATGCATTGACATCCATTTGAAAATTGGTCTCCGGCCACCTCACTCACCAGACGAAAGGCGAAAGTGCTACACTTCTGCTACTCTTCACGCCGTACTTCTGTGAGATCGTGGTACTTACGGACGAGCCTGCCCATTCGTGCGGGCTGCCGAGGCTGCTGCGTTGCCTTCTCGCCGTCAAAACTTACTCGTAGTTTCGGAGGTCTTCGGCGCTGATGATGCTGCCGACCCTCTGCAGATCGTCCAGGAAGTCCACCGACAGGCTGCCGTTGTAGAGTTCGTCGCCGCCTTTAGCTGCAATTCGCTTCAGCGTTTTGCAGAATGCCTCGCTCGGTTTCACCACGGTGCCCGGCCTGTGGAATTGCTGCTTGGTGGGGTTGTAGTAGGTTTTCCTGGAAGAGGTGGTGCAAGGTAGGCCAAAATTGACAACCTGTGTATGTGACTATGAGTCTGCGAAGGCCTTAGAGAGAGCATTAGGCCGTGGATACACGGACACAAATTAGCGGACATAAATATGTTAGACATATGTTTTTACATTTTATAAGTATCCAGGGTTCCTTACATTTTCATTGACCACAGCTGTTAGATTCATTGATTACGACACTTTTTTTCGTGGCCATGAGCTTGCGAAGACCTTAGAGAGAGCATTAGGTCGTGGACACACGGACACGGATTAGCGGACTTAAAATATGTTAGGCGTATGTTTTTACATTTTATAAGTATGCAGGGTTCCTTACATATTCATTGACCACAGCCTTTAAATTCATCGACTATGGCGCTTTTTTCAGTTGCGATAAGCACTTTCTTTATATACCCCATACTAAGGAGTCGAAGATTACCTTTATGTCCGTACCATTATAATATTATCTGTGCACCACATAAGGAAGTCGAAGCTTCAGTGCGACCATTAAGGAATAGAATTCAGCTGGGTTTCGAATTTAATACTCGTGATAGACATGCAAAACAATACCGAAGGTGTAATAACCTTTGAGAACAATAATAGACTTCTTGTATCCAATAGTAAATCATCAACGCATCGTATGTCAATCGCTACATTTGCCAACAACATCACGCAACCGTACCAAGACTTGCATAATATGATAACGGAGGTGTTTAAATACTGGTTCATGAAATGTTTTTACTAAGCGACATCTGACTCATTTTTATCTAGTAAAAGTACGCGACCTGTTTTTATGACGACTGAACATTTAGAAGAAATCAAATGACGCATTTGCGTCTTATCTGCGAGCGGATTTATTGGTCTTTTGTTTGATAATATTGTTGGTCTTTCGTGTTCAATAAAATATGTTATTAATATAGGAAACATTGTCGTTGCTTACTTGAACGACACTGACGTAAATTGTGATGATAGTGGTGTGTTGTATTTAATTATAAGGTAATTATAATTTTTATGTGTAATGTGAATGGCCGATCATGTCTTAGTGGTTGGGATGTTAGGAATGCTCGTTATGGCTGTTGCGTTTCCCAGCGGCTCCTTCGGTTTTATCATGTTCAAAAGATGGCGGCCAGAGCGCAAATCTTCAAATAAGCACGGTGAAAAAAAAAGTCTATCTACGTCTCTAAAGTTAGAAACCGATGACCGTCTATAAAACATTTTTTATCCTTTTATAATGATTTCCCTTACAATTACGTCGCCGTATCAAAATCAAAATCAAATCAAAATCAAATGTATTTATTCAACATAGGAGCATTACACTCACTTATTGATAGTCAAAACACTACCACCGGTTCGGAAAAGAAAGCCACTGTTCCGAGAAGAACGCGCGAAAGAAACTCAGCGGGCGTTTTTTTTTTTTTTTAAAATAAGCAGTTTGACATAAATTCGTTAAAATACAATATAAGAACTCCGATTGAAAGAGCCTGGAGCGATCAGTTCATTACCAGAGTGTGTTATCATTTAAATAATCATTAATATTATAGTAGCCTTTAACACACAAACGTTCTTACTATTTTTTTAAATTTAGCTATTGATGCATTTTGAACGTTTTCTGGAATTTTGTTGTAATAACGTATACATTGTCCCATAAAAGATTTACTTATTTTACGGAGTCTACTTGTGGGTAGGATCAATTTATTTTTGTTCCTAGTATTTATATCATGAACATTATTATGTCTTAAAAATTTATCCTTATTTTTATGGACATACAAAACATTTTCAAAAATGTATTGAGCAGCAACAGTCAATACCTTTATCTCTTTAAACAAGTTTCTTAACGATTCTTTGGGGCCCAGATTGTAAACTGCACGAATAGCTCTCTTTTGTAAGATAAAGATTGTATTAATGTCGGCTGCGTTACCCCAAAGCAGAATGCCATAAGACATTATACTGTGAAAATAACTAAAATATACCAAGCGAGCCGTATCAACATCAGTTAACTGTCTTATTTTTTTGACCGCGAAAGCTGCTGAGCTAAGTCTACTCGCCAGTCTATTAATATGGGGGCCCCATTGCAGTTTGGCATCAATAGTTATGCCAAGGTATACAGTTGAGTCAATAGGGTCCAACGCTTCCCCATATAAAAGTACATCAGTTTTTACATGTTTAACATTGGAGGAAGTTGTAAATTTAATACATTTAGTTTTTTTATTATTCAACAGTAAATTGTTAGCACTAAACCAATGTACTACAGTAGATAGAGTATTGTTTACATCGTCATAACTTAAAGAACGTCGGTTTACTTTAAAGATTAAAGAGGTATCATCCGCAAACAATACTATCTCATGATAATTATTAACAAGATAAGGTAGATCATTTATGTAAATGAGGAAGAGAAAAGGCCCAAGAATAGATCCCTGCGGGACCCCATATTTACCAAGGCCCCGGGAGATCTCTTGCCATTCACGTCAACTCTCTGAATTCGATGGCTCAAGTACGATTTCAGAAGATTGAGTGCGGCATCTCTTATACCATAGTGGCGTAGTTTCCTGACCAAGGTCTCATGCTGTACACAATCGAAAGCTTTGGTTAAGTCACAGAATATTCCTAAGGCATCCTGCGACTTTTCCCAGGCTTCAAAAATATTCATAACGAGCTGAACACCCGCATCAGTTGTTGAGCGACCCCTAGTAAATCCATATTGCTTGTTATGTAATAAATTATGAGAGCTAAAATGTTGTAACATTTGATTCAACATGATTTTTTCAAAAATTTTACTAAGAGTTGGCAGTACAGAGATAGGTCTAAAATTATTGGGGTCTGAAGTACTACCAGATTTAAACACCGGAATGATTTTACTATGTTTCATAAGGTCAGGAAATTCGCCACGATTGATACAAATATTAAAAATAGTTGCTAGGTAAGGTGATATTACATCAATAATAGAACTGATCACCTTAACCGAGATCCCCCATAGATCTGCAGTTCTTTTAACATCTAAAGTTTTAAAAGTTTTTAACAATTTCTGTCTTGTTTACAGTAGTAAATTTAAAGTTTACTTTACATTCCATAACATTCTTTTTTAGTAATGACTCAGCAACTGTCGGTGAGGAAAGAAGTGACTTGGTTGTTGAAACTGGAATGTCAACGAAAAATTTCTCGAAGAAAGTAGCAGCCTGTTGATTTGAGTTAATAGAATTATTATCATTAGTTAACATTAGGTCAGATTTGCGCTTCGTGACTCTTCCCGTTTCGCTATTAATTATTTTCCAAGTCATTTTGATTCTATCAGGTGCATTTTTTATTTTATTCCTAATATATAGAGATTTAGCAGTATAACAAGCTTTTTTAAATATTTTAGAGTAGGCACTAACATAAGAAACAAAACATTGACTATGATTGTATGTCCTTTCACTATAAAGTTCATACAATCTACGTCTACTATTATGAATTCCGACTGTTGCCCATTCATTGAAAACTACAGAGCTTTTAGGTTTGACTGTCTTAGGAGTAAATATAGTATTAAATTCCACTTTAATTAAATTAAATAATATGTTGTAAAGTGCATTGGGGCTATCATTATAAGGTAGATACGTCAGCTTTTTAGTTATATTACTTCTAAACTTCTCAACCCGAGTTCTATTTACAGGAACAACCATTATTTTTTGTACCTTAGCACTACTATTTTTTATATATGATTTAAAAGTGGCAAGTTGTCCGCAATGGTCTGAAGTAAATATATTAATAATAGACTTGTTAATTGGGTTACAATTTGTAAATATGTTATCTAAACAAGTTGCGGAAGAAGTAGTGATTCTAGTTGGTTCAAGGAATAAATTGGCAAGGTTATATGAATTTAACAATGATCTGAATCTAATAGAGGTGGTAGAATTTTCTAATAAATTTATGTTAAATTCACCACAGACAATAATATATTTATTAGACTCAGATAACTTCAACATCAATTCTTCCAAAACATTTTCAAAAGATTCATATAACGCACTAGGAGGTCTGTATACGCATACAACAATGAATTGCTCAAGCTCCACACAGGCTATTTCAATAGTCTGCTCAACAGAGAGGCTCACAACATCTTTGCGGTTCTTAAATTTTAAAGCATTATTAATAAGTATAAGAGAGCCACCACGTATCGCTTTTTCTCTGCTGAACAGACTAGCAACCTGGTGACATCTGAAGTTAAATATGTACTGGTAGTTTAATAGCCAATGTTCAGTAATACATAATATATCAATATTGTTACTGTTCAAAAATAACTCAATTTCCAAATCTTTACTTAACATTCCTTGGATGTTTTGATGGACCAGGCTAATACAATTTAATTTATTACTACAATTAATGTCTTTATTCAATTTACTTACATATCTCACTAATTTACTAGAATAAGTTAATTTTTTAATTGAAGTGCCAGAGATTGCCTCTGTTGTCTTCTTATTTAATTTAAATTACTTGGAACGGATTCAAAATTGGTACATGTCAAATTTTGTTGCTGTTCAATAGAAGCAGCAGTCTGGTTAGCCAAACAATTGGCTGGGTTTAAAAAAATGCAATAAGATAGCATATTAGCTAACTGTTTTAAATAAAAATTGGATAGGATGAACCTATCATATGTCAAATTGGATAATTTATAATTTATAATATTATTTATGTCAATTAAATCACAATTTAATTTATTTTTTTGATAAACGGGTACATAATTGTTATTTGTCAACATATATAACATATGATTAAGACTATGTCTATAATTGTTTTCCTGTGGCAACCCTTTTACATAGGGAAATGTGAACATTATTATTTTTTTAACATTTAAGTTTAATAATTGATCACGCAGTACCGAGGGACACCGTTGCGTTCCGTAGGAGATCCCTGAGCCCCTCCAAACGTGCAGAAGGTTGCCACCGAGGGCAGGGTATCTTTCGAAGATTCCCCCCCCCCCCCCCCCCCCCTCCCCCCATACAAAAAAAATAATGCAAGAGCTCGAAGTGGAAGTTACCTCAAATTCGGATCATTCCTCACGTAGGATGCCACCATCAGGCCGTCGTGCAGCGCTTTCGAGACCACGTATCCGTCCTCGCAGAGCTGCAGCGTGGGGGCTATTAAGCTCTCCCAGGGCAGCTTGCCCCACCTCTTGTACGCCGCCCACATGCCACGCAGCTCGCCCGGAACCCCGATTGCCAGCGGACCTGGCAAAGCAACGCAATCGCTGGTCACGTTAGCTTATTAGCTCTTCACGATAGCTTCGTAGCGGTTACCGGCACGGATGGGTCAAGATTATGTCTCACAGAAGACCGGGACGACGTAACGTGTTAAAGTTTTGTCTAGTAAGTGAAATCCCCGAAAATGTTGTAGAACATACTTTAAAAAGTGGTAGTTTCTGACGCTCAATAAGAGCTTGAAATAAGCCTATGTTGAATAAAGAAATTTTGACTTTGAAATGGAAATAATAATATCAGCGGAACATATATCCCTTCTGAATTTGCGCTGGATCCGTGATAGCATTTGTTTTATCCGCGTACATAAAAATAATGTTGACGATACGATTGACATAGTGGATAGTGAAACTACTAGTTTATGACCCAGGTTGGAATGGGTTCGAACCCCGCTACTCGGAAAATATTGTGTGATGAACACAGTTTTTCAGTGTCTGGTTGCTTTGTATATCTATAACATAAACATAATTATCGGTTATTTAATACCTATGTATAGTACAGCTTTGCTTAGTTAAGGACTAGGCAACGTTGTGTAAAAATATGTCCCCAGATATTTATTTATTACGTTATTTTATTATTATCAATTATATTAATTTATTATTAGTACGTGCGTTGGCCTAATTGAGTGTTACAAAAAGGTTGTTACGACTAAAACTTGCAAATTAACATATTTCATGCCGTTTCGACTTGAAATTGACATGCATTTGTGTGTGTGGTTGTATTAATAATAATTTTCCGCTGAAGTTCGTGTTTTCGAAACCTTGAAGACGTTGCACATGAATACTAAGATATAAGTTATTACGCAGCAAAAATTTGAACGGTCACATGCCAGGTATTAATATCGCGAACCAGATTGAGGAGAAAGCTTTGGTGAAACTTTCGCATGAAAGCGGACAAGCAAAATCTGTGGACACACAAACGCAAAAAACACTTCGTTGGCCTTGCAAATTTTAATCTCTTCTTAACATCTATCACCTTTAGTGTTTCAGCAGATTTAATTTTTTGCCTTCAAACTATTATGCAAAAATGAAAACGATTTATACACATAATTTTCGTTTATTATTACAAAAATGCGTTATATCTCATTTTTTACAATATTTTTATTTTATCAGCTGATTTTATCTAGAAACTAGGTCGCTTCCATACTAACTTTTGATTTTTGAAGTTCCTTAACGCGGCTTGGGGGAAGTGTTAGTTGGTAGAAATCGTCACGTAAGGAAAAAGCGTTATGCCCCTCCATTCGACTCTCATCTAGCTCTTTCTCTGTTTCTTATTGTTCTTTATTTATTTATTTATTATATTCTATTATATTCTATTATACTACTTTAACTATTTGATTAGATCAATATAGGTGTATACCATCATTCTATAAAGAAAAATTCAAGTATCAAATCCTCGGGTGGAAGAGCAAAAGTATTCAGAACAAAATATATTAACATATACTAAAATAATGTTACTAATATGTGAATATTTATAAGGCTATGAATCATCATCGATAATGTTTTCATGTTAAACGACATCGGATCTGTTGTAACATTTTGTGAAAATTGCACCGATTGGAACATATCATCTCGATATTGTGAAGATGACGTCATTTACTGAGAACACGCAAAAGCGCGGTTATAACTCCTTAATTTATTTGATCGCGACTCTATAAGGCCAGAATGGTTGCCGCTTTTAATTACATATTTCAGGGTTCATTGTTTAAATGCAGCTTGTTTAAACAGTTGCTTTATGAGACATTGTATATACGCATGCGTGTTTGTGAATGATGATAAAGTTTTGATAACCTACATAGCTTACAATAGAAGGGATTGCAAAAAGAGATTACTTTAAAAGGCCACGTCGCTTTGCAATACGGAATAGTCTCAGTGTTCTTTTATTTACTTGAAAATTGACAAATGCTTGACTACCACGCCATCTGACTGTAAGCAATGGTGTTTAGGTTTAAGTTGTCTATTGTATTTTGTGTGGAAAGGGTTCGACAGTGAATCTCAGCGTCAAGTGCGACCTAGAAAAATATATCGTACTTTTCCCTTCGAAAAGATTGCCCTCCTACATACTAATATTATATTAGCATATATGGACCGGTTATACAGCTCGTAGAACCGATGGCTGTGAGGAAGAAAGGTTCTCGAATGGCAGCCTCTTATTGACTATCACAGTGTAAGAAAGACGAGCCTATATTAATGAGCGAATTTGAATCACTACATAGTATAAAACAAAGTCATCCCGCTGTGTCTGTCCCTATGTATGGTTAGATATTTAAAACTACGCAATGGATCTTGATGCGGTTTTTTTTTAATAGATAGAGTGATTCAAGAGAAAGGTTTATATTTATAATACATTGCACCTGCGCGAAGCCGGGGCGGGCCGCTAGTACTATATAAAATTAATATAACAGCAATTTCTCTATAGCAAATAAAACATCCAAATCTGTCTGTTGATTGATACTCAAATTCTCAAATTTCAAATTTATTATTTATTAATATAATTATATAGGTTTACAATTGATACAATACTAACCCCCACACTAGCCGCAGCCTGTCCTATGGGGGAAGTTAATGATTTCCACATTTTAGTGTCAGCATACGAACGGTAAACACTATTTGAACCACTAAGAATAACAAAAAGAGAAAGAGAAAATAAAAAAAATTAAAGAAAATCTAGAAACGGTTAAACATAATTATAAAAAACAAAGATGTGATAATAATGACAACAATAAACGAATGTTTGCATGTGTGTGTTACGTGTGCATATGCGTGTGTGCGTGCCAGCGTGTGCGTGCGGGCGCACGTTTGTGTGTGCATGTGTGTCTGTGGATAGTAAATTCACTTTTCGATGTAAAAATTGCCAATGATAAATAAAATCTCATTTTATAACTTTAATAAACAAGCCAACAAGCAATACTAAACAATTATAAAAAGCAATTATAAAAATTATTCCTCAAACAAGTTAATGCAATATAATAAACTATTTTTATAACGATATAATCTTTTAACAATGATCGTTCTTTCGGGACAACAGCCCCAGGGCCCCCACAACAGACTTCAGAAAAAAAAAATTCAAACTCAGACTAGTAATCAATAGTAAACAACTTTTCCTATCATATTTATTTCGCGTTTTACTTTTACCTACAGTACTTGGTACAAACATGATTACATTAAATATTAACACATATCAATACAAAATAATTTGCGGCCAAGGGGCCTCCACTCCTTTGTTGGCCAGAGGCCTCCAGACCTCTTAATCTGGCCCTGAGTGCAGCGATAGCTTGTCGACCATTATCTGATCATGTTTTTCTTTCCTGGCCTCGCACGGCCACAACCAATTAAAACAGATATTTGTAGGACATTTCCAGTCTTTTCAACCGTGCATGTTCCTTAAACGAAGTTTTCTTTGCGCCCGAGATTTTAATGTGTGCGAAACCGCCTGCGACACGGAAACTGTTTTTAAAGTGCAGGAGTACTTTAAAAAAAATATTAAAAAAGCATATTTTGGCTTAAAGTTTAAGTATAACTCTGAACACATAATGAACATGATCTGGTCGTTCGATCGATTATACTTGCACAGTAAAGGCGACAGGAAGAAACTGTGGACTCGTTATAGTCAACTTCAAGCGCCCTGCGGTGCTGTGACTCTGGTTGCGTTGTTGGGTAACATCGCAAGGCCTCGTTCAACTGCCATCCTCCATCCTATTCACTCCACATTTAACGTAGGCGTCTTCAAGGCAAGAGTGAATAGGTTTCTACTGAGCTAGCGCGCTTACCATCAACGGCTGCATGTTCACTTACCATCAGGTGGGATAGCAGTCAAGTGCCAGCAAGTTTTGAATTAAAAAAAAATATTTAGTTTCAAGTATAACGTTAGACAACAGCAGGAAATAATAAACTCTAGGGAAACTATTTCATATGTTGAGATTTCAGAGTCCATACCGATAAGTATTAACTGGAACGACCACGTATAATACGATAATGTTGTTATCGCGTTAAAGAACGCGGAAGATAGTTAAAAACTAGATTAAGAAAAGTAATAAACCCACCATATGTGACTTTATTATAAAGGGTGCGAGTAATTGAGGTGGACGAATATAATAACAAATAGAGTAATCAGGAAGTTTTAATTTTAATTTAAAGTCAGGAAGTTTTTTTTAAGTGGTTAAAATAAAAATAAAAAATCTTCGTGAAATTTATTTTTTGTATGATAACTCCGACAAAAAACGTGATGACTTTTTTAGCTTTTCAATTTTTTTCAATAGCCGGAAGTTACGAAATCGCAACGCCTGTATTGCGCGTAATTGTGAAAGAAAAACAGCTATGCGTGCAAACGAAAACAATTGCATAATCTGTTATATTGTCAGCGAATATTAGGCCACATTTATCCCAGTGCATTATTCAAACCGGTCTAGAATTATTTTTAGAATTGGGATTAGGACCAATGATAATTTTTATTTCATTTTAAAACTTCTTGTACAAAACTCTGTACAAAAACTTATTCTGTACAAGGACTTAATGTTGACAGCATCATTTAATAATAGATAGATAATCATTTTTCGTAACTTACATCGTACAATATTTTTGCGACCAATATTCTTTCCGATGTTTCACAAGCGGAAACTTGTGAAACATCGGAAACTCTTCAAAATAAGTTTACCTAAGTTACAGTCTTATGGGTCTGCATTCTAAAGTGCCCAGGGGCCCCAATAGGTATACAGCAACCTTGATATCGTGGACCTGTTTCGATGGCAGTTAACATTATTATTTACCTTTAATAAGTAGCGTAAAGTCGTTCATGGTTGTTATATGTATTTTTACATATTTAAAATTGACACATTTTCACGTGTTTGTACCACGAGCGAGCCTTAGCCTCACAATCATGTTCGTCATATTAGGAAACCTTACATGTCTGTTCTTAAACTCAATAATAGGAAGACTCGCAAGCTGACGGTTTACGAGACCAGACACCGATTAGGTGCATGTCTTTGACCCGGTAAACAACATTAAGAAGTTAATGCTTTATCAATGGAATGATAAATTTATTTTTGCTTTAAGTCTTTGTAATTTGCAGTTTAGTTTACAAGTTTAGTTTGATTTCCAAACTTAATAATACTCCAGCCCTTATCCCACCTAGGTGGGGTCGGCACAGCATATGAACAATTTCGTGAGCGGTTTCGACTATGTTCTTTTACGACAGACCGCCTACCCCACGTCAACCCTCCTCGGGAGACAAACACTCAGATCCGGAAAATTTGTCCCGTTTGGAAATCGAGCCCACGACCACGTTGGCCAACAGCTTAGCAACGGCGCCACCGGGTTGGTCACTTAATCATACTATCCTTACCTATATTATAAAGAAAGTTTACGTATGGATGTTTGTTACCCTTTCACGTAAAAACCATTGAATGGATTTTAATGAAACTTTACAATAATTTAGCTTAAACATCAAAATAGCAGATAAGCTATCAATTTATAAAGATATTGTGTGAATTGTCCAAAATTTAACACGTGTCAAGTGAGTTGGAAAAATCCTGCCATCTGCGAGATATTATGGAGTATAATAAAAGAAGGCGCGGTTAACAGCTAGCTGTCAAATATTATACGAAATTCCCGCGCCCAATATTGGTATTAATTTTTATTCCGATCCCTGTGTTACCTTTCGACGATTTCGTAATGTCCCCGTGGAACATGTCCTCCGTGGCCGCTGCAGGGGCTTTCTCCCTCGCTATGACGCTGTACGCCCTGCCCTCCTCCTTTATGTATACGGTCATGAAGAAGCCTCCCCCGAGCCCCATGCTCTGGTGGTTGAGTACGCCGTTGCAGAACATCGACGCGATCGCCGCGTCCACGGCGGAACCGTTTTGAACGAGGATTTGTCTGGAACAACGCACCGAGCTAGATCTCTCTCACGGCTGTTTTTTATGCGAAATGTTGCCAAGCGAGCCGGCAGTTCACCTGATGTTAAGTGAATACCGCCGCCCATGGACTACTGCTACTCCAGAGGGTTGCAGATGCGTTGACAACCTTTAGAAAATTGGGCTCCGGCTGCCTCGCTCACGAGACGAAACGCGAAATTATTATACTTCCACTTCACGCCGGTCTTCTGTGAGGTCGTGGTACTTACTCGGACGAGCCTGCCCATTCGTGTTACAGCCGAAGCCGTTGCGGGGCCCTACCACAGTTAAAAGCAAAGCACAGCTTGGTCATTTGTATGTAATATATAAATGTATTGTTCGTTGCATCTTCGTTACACAACAATATGAAATTATGCTTTCATAATTTAATTCTAAATGAAATAGTAAACTAAGTTAACCTAAATTTTGTAGAAAAATGGACGAAAATATTTTTGCCGCTGTGGGAACCAAGCCCACAGACGCTCTAACCGCTAAGCTAAGCAGCTAACTTTATGTTAAGTTTATTCAGCCCTCAAGAAATAACCTACCTGGTTTTCTTTTTTGGTGATGCTCTAAAGTTAAGTAAAGTAACAGCCTATACATATTCCACTGCTGGGCAAAGGCCTCCTCTATACATTGGGTATCAGGGTATAGTCCACCAAGCGGCCCCGCTGCGGATTGGCGGACATATCTTCGAAATAATTTTTGTTTTGTTATAATTTCGAAAATATGCAGGTTTCCTCACGGTGTTTTCCTTCACAGCGGAGCACGTGATAAGTTGGCAATTTAAATTAACAATTTCATTGGTGCCGGCACCGGGGATCGAACTCAGGTTACTTGAGTATATTGAATTAAAAGCGATCGCCCGGGCAATGAGCTATCACGGTGATGCTCTAATTTGTGTTATATATCCACTATGCTGTTTTAGTTCAGACTTAAATGGAGATAAATGTCCATAAGTATAAAAACACTTCAGTGTCTTTCTCGCCTTTGTCATTAAATTTTTTTGTCTTATAAATAAAAAAAAATAAAACATTTTATTTTTTCCCCATTTATTTACGACAGTGAGATTTTGTATTTTAAGTACGTGCAAAATTTTAGAGCACGTAATTAGTAATCATTCATTTGTCATTTTTTTGTTTTTGTGAATTGGCGGCATTTCCAAGTCTTTTTATAAATCAAAATGAATTTACGGCGTGAAAATTTTCGGTCCATGATTTATTACGAAATGCGTTGCGGTCTTACTTAAAAAACAAAGCTATGATAGACTTAGATTCAACATTATCATCAGCCGCAAGACGTTCACTGTTGAACAAAGGCAACAAAGGTTATTCGATTTACGAGCCTTCTAGATGCGGTGAGTGCGTTAGAAAATGGCGTAGAAGGAAGGAAGAATGAAAATTATCTTAAAACTCAAATCATAATAGTGAATTACATAAAAAAATATATATAGGTAATATACGTATTTATAACTTCAAAATAAAGAAATCGAAAAAACCGAACGGAAATTATTAGCAAATGGAAAATCAATCGCGTGTAGCCCTGCACGTACGCCGCGGTCTCAACCTACTTTAAAGTAAATATTTTTAAAAAACTAACACATTATGATTACAAATGATCTTCAACTAAATGCCTTTAGTATCAAAATTGCAAGAAAATAATGTATAGCAGAACTGCAGAATTTGGAGGTTTTTCATGGTAGGATCTACCACTGTTTGCCTTAGGGGCCTTTACAAATCCGCCGGACTTGAGGTGGCCGGGTGTTCGGGGCGCCTAGCCTGAACCTCGGTCAAGCTTTGAGGTACTTCTCTTAAAAAGATCTAACAAAAGCCAGTCTCATAATGTCTATCTATCATTTAAGATTAGCTCACAGTACAGTTAAATTTTAAACATAATGAGAGTTTTTGCGTATTTGAGTTTTGAAATATATATATTTGATAGTCTACATATACTTCAGTAATTTGCTAACTTAGATGTCCATCAGGCGATTCATCAAATGACGGAAAGCACGCAAAATGCCGTGCCATCATTTTAAAAAATGGAGGCATATTGTTGCTGATTTATTGCGATAGACGCTGATGTCTGATGGAAAAAAAATATATTAAGTGTTGACGTAAGAGAAGCTAAAAGTCGAACATTCAGAAGTCCAATCAGCTGTTATTTTTGTTACATTATAACAAAAATAACAGTACATTTATGGCTGTCTATATCAAACAATACTCACATTTTAAGCAAAAGTAAACCTTTTCATTGGACTCGTGTAGGTAAAGTTCTACCAAGTAAAACATTTCAATATATAGGAAGGATATTTTAATAAAAATCATGAGGTAGGTAGCTCTGAAATGTTGTCTGGCTGTGAAGTTTTCAAATAAAATAATATTGACTAAACTCAGTCTTGATTTTGAAGTGTTGTGGATTTTGAGTCGGAAAATGTTGATTTATGACTTTGCTTTTTCAGAATTCATTTGCAGTCTTGATTTGAGGACAATTAAAATTTGTTTCGTGCTAAGAATATATTATGGCAGAGTAGGTATTGTAAAATTTCTTACAACTATGTGTCGTGTATGAAATTTTATATGCAGATTTGCTAGGTCTCAGAATCGGTCGCAAAACAAATACAAAGAACTACATTACAAGGGTAACACGGTAAGTGTACCAAGATAAACATTACGGTTACAACTAAAAAGCTAAACAGAAACTATAAAAACGAAATCTACAGAAATGATCACATGACTGTAGACTGTAGATTCTAAAGGTGCAAATTCATAGTGTACACAAATTGTCCATAGCATAAACTATGTATCTTCTGACAAGGTAGAGGACACGACCGCATCACACAGCATTTCAGTTTAGATCTATTCAAATTTACTCACACAACAAGGACAGTATCAATGGACCTTAAATCGCTATGTACAAAGATATGAAGTGGGATTACGAGTGAAGATAAAACCCATCACAATACGGGCACCAGTTTATTTCTTATGTCTGTAGTTATTGTTTTTACCCAGGTAAAACTAGCTATGCTCAGCCCAAACATCTAGTCAGACGCAATAAAAAAAACTGTGAAGCAAGGTCACTGCGCAGTCTTCGCCAACACAATCGCACTTTAGCGCCCCAAGGTTGTTTTTGTATGTAAACACGAGCTCTAGACTACGCGAGTCGTTTAAACCAGTGACAACAAACGAGCCAATGACCTCGCTAGGGGCAACATTCAATTTTCCGCCTCAGACACTCACGTCCAATGAGAAAAACAAAGGAGGTAGTTTAAATTAATATCTTTATTCACCTTAAATTATTATTACAGTCCTTTGTGTACCACTAGCGATACAAAATAAAATGTAACATAACGTAAGTATCTAGCAATTAGTAACACAGCGATTTTGAGCTCTACAACAAGCTCAGTGAGAGTCGAGAATTGAGATCAGTCAACGGAACGGTGTTATGTCCAAAATAGAAAATATACCGGTCGGGACGCCGGTAGGTGATTTACTTTTGGCGCGGTGGCCTCGACCGGCAGCGTAACCTGACGCTGTTGTGGTGGGCGAGGTAAAATCCCTGGGTCAACAGGAATCGCCTTGGGTGTTCCAGTGATCTCAGCGCCGGCCCACGACCCACGCTCTCTTCTGGTATCCGCCATAACGTCCTCCTTTCGTTGGGCATCTCTGAAGTCCTTTTACACGCCATTGTCGTCCGATTTATTGTGCGCCCATCTAATGTTTGTTACCGCCCTTCTTGTTCTTCTCCGTATTGATCAGCTTCGTGACGATTTTTCTAGAATGGCCGGACGGGTCGAAGTGGTTTGTGTGCTCGCTCACCTCTCTCTTCGAGCGTTGCTTACCGCTGTGCCCGGAGAAAATGTGCTTGTCGTGTTCAAAGTTGTAGTAATCGTATTCGTCGAAGAAGGCCTCGGACATATTTACGACTAGAAAATGTGTTTTTTGGTATAACACACGAAATTTGTCACAGTGACAACGTTACTGCAGATTTTGTTTTAACAAAATGTTCGCGACGGAACGAAACACGGCAGTTTTATAGGTACGCAGAGACACGTCACTGACCGCATGCGCGTCGATAAAGTTCTCGAAAGACGAAACGTGATTGGTTGGTAGCGTTCGCTGCGACCCGGTTATGAAACATTGTTTATTATGCATAGTTATGCAAGTGTGTGAGTAAGCCCGCCAGTGTTGCCAACTAAAAATTTATATTTTCTTCGAAGAAATGTAAATGCTTTTAAAATTTATAAATAATGTTTTATCTATAAGAATCAATTAATACCAAAAAGGAGTAGCGAAGATGGCACCAATTAAGATTTTAAAATTTGAAATGAATTCAAAGGATTTCAAGTTTTTCGTTTATATGTCAATATTTGGTTTTCAATGAGATTAAAATTGTAGGATGAACCAATTTTTAAGACATAGGCCAGTAGACAATTGAAAAAACATAGGCAAATATGTTTACAACAAGTACTTTTCTAATCCGCCCTAACGACCCTACATTAAGTGTTGTCGTAGCTCGTACATGTCACGTACAAGGTCAATGTACACTATTGTCTTAATACAGTAACCCTGTTGAAATCGAAGGAAAGTTGTATATGTTCAGCATGGTGCGTTATCTTTGATTTGTCTTTAAATGACATTTATTTCTACTCATTACCATTCAGTCCATATTGCTAGTAACACAATGGTAATAAAATAATACCAATGCAAGTGCCATCTGTTGGCGAGTAGCATCACAAAATATTTTTCATTGCTATAAGTATAAAAAAGTATTTCTCTGGATGATAATAAGCTTATCAGATAATTTGACGATTTTCTTGTCATCGCAATTTTAATACGACTATAAACAACGACGATTGCAACATACAAAATGAGAATACTTTTATCTCACCTTCCTACTTTCGAGCAATGCGCGGCATCTGTGCATACGGCCGCTCGGTGAAATACGCGCATGATTGACGCCGACGGTGGCAATGCGTGAACTGGGTCGGGAGGGTCCAATTTCTTCCATGCTGCGTAGTCAGCGCTGCCGATGAGGAAGCCACTCAAGGCAGACACGAAGACCAGCAACACTAATGAAGTTATTAAAACCTTTGTCCGCAACTTGTAAGGCCTGTGAAAGAAAATATTTTTACAGCGCCACCTGTTGCGGAATTGACGAAAAATAAATGTCATATTAATATTTTTTTATTTTTATAATACTGCGATGGATTCCAGAAGTAAATAGGAAAACTTCTACAACGTATTAATTAAAACAATTAGAAAATTACTGAGAAATGTTGTGTATAATATGTTATGATGCAATTTATCAGCATTTTTTAAAATATGATAAATATGAGATGAGATCTTCCCGATGCTCGATGAGCTACCTTAATTTATTAATGTTTTGTTTTATTTTTAAATAAATTTTAAAAATAGATTTTAAATCGTATCAAAATATCAATTATTTTAAATTATAATTTATAATTATACTTATTTTACCTATTTTATATCTCTATTACCATATTTTGTGTAGCTTTTTACTTAAGCTTATTAAATGCTTCTAAGACATTAAACCAAAAATATAATGTCGAAATTTCGATACGTACGAAAAACGTCTTCATTTTCTTCATTACATGTACTTACTTTTCTAGATAGTCTATTTCGTCACCATTAAAATTACCATGAAACATAGTGAATCTGTTAATTGGTGACACTAAACGTATGGTATCCATCGGTATGTCATCAATGCGCGTACTTATAAAATTCCTTCTGTGCAATCCACTCCTTAGGGATTGCTCCATTTTAGTTATTTGTTCTTCACCGACCACTACGTTTATATCGGAACTTTAGTATTGAAAGTATCACACGAAATGTATAACCGCGCAGTTAATTTTCCACAACCAAAATTTACTCTACTTTCACAAATGGTTTTGCTTCATCAATATCTTTTCGATAATTTTATATATTCGCTTTGACCATTTCAATTCGTCAAGTTTTGACGTCGGCAGTGTGTATAAACTGCAGGTATTGCAGTGAATTTATTTGCGGGTATAAAGAGGATCGATAGAAAATACAGCTGTTCAAGCCGGTCCGCTTTTCCCAAATTAGTTTCAACGTTTCTCCGATAGATGGCGATGGAAACAGCACAATACGTGATTGAATTTCGTTTCCGCTTTAATGATTATTGCTAGTTTCGTAAGCAATATGTGTCGAAGAAAGTGGATAAATTCAATACAAGTTAGACCAACCATCTTAGATGAATTTCGCATTAAGGTTTTGTCTATGGCCATGTCTCATTTACTACAAGAATTTGGAATATATCTAAAGTTATAGTATAAGGCTTATACTGTAAGCTATAACTTAGTACTATATAACGAAATTGGGTCCGTTTCTTTATGTTCCAATGTCGTCTTTTACATTCATAAAAGTAATAATTATTTGTATTTTAAATTATTAAACAACACCTTATTATAAAAAAAAAGATATGTTGCGATAAAAATTAAAAATACCATGAAGGTAATTTGGTATGAGTTGTGGTCTGGTATGATAAATTGCTCCAGTCGTATATTAATGTTTCTTTCAGTGTCGCAGAAGGTAAGGACAATCATGATAATTACCTACGGACACTAAGTTCATCTAGACTCGGAACATCTATTTACGGATCACACAAATTATTCTGCCACGTGGGCATCAGACACATGCGGGCACAATGACAGTTTATGAGGTGACCAACTGTTGAACTTTCCTTACCGGGAATGGATATCAAGACGCCCGTGAACAGTGTGACCTGAACACTAACAGTCTGATCTTTACTTCTAGCACAAAGTAGATAATATACTTCTAGACATTTCCTGTCTACAAAAGGCGTCCTCGAGTTTCTTTCTGACAGTCCGCGAGGCAATGATGTGTGGTTATATCTGCGTTGGCGATATAATGGCTAGGACAATCCGGCCTTATACCGAAATTAAACTGAGCAGGTTAAAGTAACTTTTAGTCGAAAAACTGGCGACTAAAATTTTAGCCCTTTAGTTAAAAAGAAACAAAGGTGAGTACCTAATAATTTGCGTACGCGAGAAATACTAAGCACTTTGTTTTAGCATTTGAGAATCGCATTCAAGTTATTAAATGAAAAAGAAGGTCATAAAAAAATCTGCTTGGTGGTTGAATATTTAAAATTAATAACGATTGCCAACAAACCGGAGTGCATAAGTGATTAGCAGAAAACTCTAAGTGAGCCTGTTTTTGTTATGAGTTTCACATATTCCGTGATAAACTATTCACCCAAAATTATTCACAAAGCTGAAATTAATGAATTATATATTGTCATACTATATTCATAATATATAACAAACCTTCGATTTGCCGACGACATAATCATTGTGGTAGAAACACCGGAGGACTTTGGTACTATGTTCAATGACCTCAACAGTGTCTCCGAACGAGTGGGCCTTAAGATGAACATGGGCAAGACGAAGATCATGGCTAATGTCCATGTCACGCCTTTATCGGCTCTTGTTGGGAACATTGTGCTCGTTCGTATGTTGACTAGGACATTTAGTGCGTTTAGGTAAGTCGAACGTCAAAATCCAGCTCGGTTGGGCAACGTTCGGGAAACTTCGGCATATTTTATGGTCCAATATCAATATAAAGATAACCGACTTGGCCCAGAAGATTAGTAAGCTGAAGTAGCAATGGGCGAGCTCGTAGAACCGATAATCGATGGGGAAGAATGGTACTATTTTCTCAAGTGGCCTTGTATTGGCTATTGCAGTGTACCCCTCAAGAGATAGAGTGACGTTCTGTGATGTAACAAATGTGCGGGAAGTCGATGGATTGTAGGTGGCTCAGGATCGTGCTTCGAGTATGCAAAGAAGCAAGATAACTTACGTATAACTTGCAGAAAAAGGAACAGAAAATTAAAAAAGAGACAACTGTTAATTCTCAGCTTCGGTAACTGTAATTGTTTGTGTGTGTTTGATCAGGAGAAAAGGAAAAGTAAAACTGAGAATTGTAAGTAAAGGATTTAAGTGTTGCACATGTAGAAGTGTAGCCTTGTGCATTAAAAAAGGGGTCATTGCACCTGTAGAAGAAGTGGAGGGCTTGTGCGCCAAAAACGGGGCTGTCGCGCCTGTACAAGTGTGGAGGCTTGTGCGGCAAAAAGGAAGCCATCGCATTTTAGCTTATAAGTTTAGTGAACATTACAATACCGGCCTTTCACTCCATCCCGCAATCCCTAGCTCGTAACAATGAGTTATTTTACTCCCCGTGACCTCACCGCGGATTGGTGGACTTCACATATCTTCGAAATATTTTTTTTTGTGCTTATGTTATTATTTCGAAAATACGCAGGTTTCCTCACGATGTTTTCCTTCGCCGCTGAGCACGTGATAAGTCAGCACTTAACAAATTATTTTTTTTAAGTGCTGGCTGTCCATTACATTGGTGCCGCCGGCATCAGAATCGAACTCAGTTTGCTAGAGTATATTGAATTAAAAGCGCGCGCGGACAATAAACTAACTTGAGTAGATCCTTGTGACCAAGCAATAAAAACAACGACGCATACTTTGAATCTTACTCTATCATAGTGCTCTTCAAATCGAAGCTAGATTCAAGGTTTGATAGGCTAAAGCTACTCAGCCGTAACCATCAACTATCCTCGACCTCACGGTCTTCTACATAATTAACGCAATCCAAACAATTCGTCGGAAATGTAATAAAAACAAGGAATGCGATTGTACAGAAACCTGTAAATATTTATGTCTGCCTAAAGTACTCACTAAAATGTTAGGAATTGTGAAAACACCAGTTAGTACGTACGTACGATAATTATCAAATATGTCAATAAATAGAAGTTTTAAGGCCGAAGGTTTTATTTTTATAAATTGATGTAATAAAATTTATAACAAAAGAGAGAGCAATATCTTAGGAAACTAGTTTTGGTTGCAAAACTTCCAATTTTAAGGATCGATAATAGACTATTCCAATCCAATCCAAACAGCCTTTTGCAATATTAACTACTTTTGCAAAATAGTCCTCCCCAAGGGAACATACAAATAAATAAATAATAAATTAATAAATATTTTAGGACACATTTTTACACAACATTCTCTAGTCCCAATCTAAGGAAAGCTTGTACTATGCGTACTAGAAAACTGATAAACATACTTTTCTTTTGTGAATAAATACATATGATACATATATAAACACCCAGACACTACAAAAACACTGTTCATCTCACAATATTTTTCCAGTAGTGGGGATCGAACCCACACCCTCTGGCGCAGGAGGCAGGTACACTACCCACCACGCCATTCGCGTCGCCTTCAATTTTATACAATTATTGACATTTATCTTTTAGAATGTGATGTGGTTGAAACATTACTTACTAATTATTTTACCTATTTCGATACTCATTACGTTTTTTTACGGGGAAAAACATTATTTTAAAGAAATTTTACAAATGTCTAACTCCGTAAAGGCATAATGAGAGTTTAATTTAAACAAAATCGATTTAATTTTGCTGCTATATTATATTTCAATCATAAACAATTTGAATTAATTAATTAACTAACACGAGGTTTGTGATGAATTAAAATGTTATCTGTTATTAGTTTTAAAGCTCACTCATCACCAGCTGACTCCGGAAGTGTTATGTGAACGTGACGATTCCTCCTTCTGCCATTAACCCTCAGGTCCGGTTTCCTCAAGGAGCTATGTCTGAGCAGCTGTCGGTCACACATGGTCGAGTTTCTCAATACTTAGAGGCAAAAACAAAGTTCCGTTCAAACAAAACTACGGAATACGCCCGCACCGTTGGTCAACGCATGTAGTGGTTTGATATTAAACTGGAAAAAAATCCACCAACAAATATCGTGGCTGCCGACCTCGCGCGTCACTGTAAAGACTCGTTCATACGTTTACATAACTAGTTCGCACAACTGGTTTGTTTATAGTAAACGCCGTTAATTAATCTTATTTTATCGAAAATTTTGAACGCACTCCTAACACCTGGGCCGGCATAAAGTCGCTCAATTACAAATCACATTACACTTCCCAATAAGTGAGTTACAGGTGTGATGGTAAACGGTCTAGATGGTTGAAATGTTTGAAAACTTGTAAGTAACTAACGAT